GACAATATATATGTCATTATTATTGTAGATGAGAAACAATGTTGGTCTGAGGATAGAACCCTGAGGCACACCACTTTTTATGTGGCCCATTTCTGACTGATAATACTCATATCAGGGACTCAAAGAGACATGCTGTCTACAAGTTCTATTTTAAGTAGATAACTTTGATATATACATAGTTATTTGATGTCAGCAAACTTGCTATGTATGTAGTGGTTGTTATGTTTACGATATATTCATAAACAATTCCGTAATTATTAGGAAAGTTCCTATTTCTACAATTCTTCGTAATTCTCAGTGTTTCAATTATTATTTTTAGAAATACTACTCAATATTATATATATATATGCATGTGACTAGCACTTGCAGTTAGCAGATAATTCGTCTGGAGAAACCTTATCAGGAAAACCACTGTGACCACGAAAAATGTGTCACTCTGTATGGCGTACGTGATCAAAATCTATCTCAAAAACATTACTGAATACTATTACTCAATCGGTGATCATTTCGTCTTCCTCTTTCCTGCGGTAATTTGTTATTAGATCAATATAGACATTTTGGTATTCATGACTCAACATTTAAAAACAAATTTAATAAAATACTGCTTGTATATAGGTTAATTCAGGAGGTGTAGAATTAATTTCCCTAGATTCTCTGTTTTTTTCTCATCTCGTTTCAATATAAACTGTTTGAAAAAGTTAAGGATATTGTGTTTTTGCAATAATGGAAAACAAAAACAGTGATATATGTATATATTATTTCAATACAAGAAAGCTGTAAGAGAAAATTTGATATTTTACCTTCTACAAACGATTTTTAAATCAAAGTGTCAAACGACGAGTGAAAATGCAAAAAAAATTCTAGAGAAAAAATAAGAATATTTGGTTATTTTCATCATTTCAGAAAAGTAGATACGTTTTCATGTTGTGAACAACATTTTAAGTTGCATATATAGGTATCGAAATTACTTTCTATGTACCAATAACTTCGAGCTGAATTCTCTCGAATATGTATGTGGAATCAGAAAAATTCATGCATATTATATTTTCATAATCCTCTTTACGATATTCCTAATCCCTAAAATCTGAATATACAGGGTGAGTCAGTTTTTTTGTAGCAGGACTTCAACAGCTTAAAGCTTGAAGAAGATACTGTTTTAAGATAAAAAGCTGTGAACATATATACATAGGATGAGGAGCCCCCTTTCCGATATACAGGAGATGTGATATTTTCATACTTCCTATATTTTTTCGTGTTTTTAAAGTTGTGCCATTGGGTTATAACACTTTTTATAGAAGCTTTTGATCATTCCTGGTCTTCTAGTCGATTATCGAGAGATATCAGATATAGTGTAATCGAAAAATGAAGTTTCATCATGAATAATAGTTATTTGTTTCACTAGATAGAAAAGATAGGAATTCAGCCAAGGCAGTCAATACATTTGCTGCCGTGTGAAACATAGTATTTTTTCTCCAAATGATATGAAACCAATTTTGTGTGATTTTTTTATTGAAAACTCCATCATTTTGTGTTCACTCGATGTCAGTGTCAATTTTGATTACTAATTTCATCAGAATTCCTTGGAACGTTGCATAGCAACAAACATTTCCTGTCTAGGCAGTAAAAGTACACCTTTTTTGCCTCATCTCAACTCCATCATTTTGTGTTCACTCGATGTCTGTGTCAATTTTGATTACTAAATTCATTAGAATTCCTTGGAAGGTTGCATATAGCAACAAAGTTTTCCTGCCTAGGCAGTAAAAGTACATCTTTTTTGCCTGTTAAGCCGCAGGAAAAAGCCACTATCCCTGCCACTTGGAGAAAAATTATTTTTTCGTTGATCTCTACCTCTACAAAAAATCACATTTTAAGTTTCAATTTCCGAAGGCAATTCATTTTCGTCCGCAGACACTAACTTTTCGTTGATCTCCTGATGATTATTATTAATATTTACTTATTCACATACACTTATAATTTGCATGATATCTCGGCACGCTATGTTTAAATTAATTTCACAAAATGTGTAATAAATGTATACATATAAGTACAATGCTTTATCTGATTCAGATCAAATCTCGAACTTCGACTCCCAGTATATTGGAAACGAAGCTCCCACGCATATTATATCCCTACATGAACTTTCCATCTTGAAAATATGTGTTCTTCAAGCTGTTGCAGTTCTGCTACAAAAAACGGACTCACCCTGTATATAGTCGTGTGTCCCATTAGATACAAAAATAATTCCCAAGTGGTTCCTATCAAGTATCAATAAATAATTCTGAACAGGGTTTAATAACTCATTTTGGTAGTGGAAGTGGCTTACTGGGATACTTGACTAATACGATTTACTAAAAAGAGCACTTCAGACCACCTCTATATTTCTTTCGAGCTCGTATATTATACCCATAATTTCGACGTTTGGACGAAAGATTAGTGAGCATAGCCCTCCCAAAAAAATACCATCTAAATGCACCAATCTTCTCCGTAAAAATTCAGATTAGTTAATGATAATTGATAGCATTTATAATTTTTTTTTTGTGAATGGGGCAGTTTTGGCTGTGCCAACTCGACAGCTTGAGACTCAAAAAAAGTAAATAGTATACTGGTTCGTCGAAGAAACCATGCACGCAATGGGTAGATCAACAGAAAGTGCAACAACTAATTTCATGGAATTTATTCATAGCCAGCTGGATGGAGGGAATAATTTTGCTGCACTTTTTTTCGGTCTATCTAAAGCGTTTGACGCCATTAACCCCAATATTCTACAGAAAAAACTTCATGTTTTGGGCATAAGAGGAGTACTTTCATCTTGGATAATATCATATATATCCGATATAGGAAAATAATTGTTCAGATAGAACAAACTACATCTCAATTTTTTTATGTCGACCTTGGTGTCCCACAAGGGTCGGTTTTAGGGCCCTTGATCTTTTGATATTTCAAAATTCATAGATGCGGGATGTTTAGTATAATATTTGCCGATGGCACATCAATCGTGGAAGGCAGCAGAGAGTACCTACCGTAGAACTTGAAAATAAAATAAACTCAACTGCCAACAGGCTGATGATTAATGCAGATAAGACAGTACTTATTGAGTTTTATGGAAGAAAGATATACTTGACAAAAAATCCCTTCTTGACGAGTAATATGCACTGATGAATTCTGTTACCTATATTATAATTGATAGCAATTTTTTTTTGTAAATGGGACTGATTTGTACGCGCCAACTCGACATCTCTGTTGATGATTCAAATGAAGTTTGCTCAATATTCAACGACTCTCGTGAACTTTTTATATAAAAAAAATTAAAACTCAACCGCTGATATTTTCAAATTTCAAATGATAAGGCAACATTGAAGAATTTTTTCTCAGAGGATTGGTAGTTATAGTCTTCACGTGCAGCCAGCCTGTCCGGGGGAAGCGCGGCGTATATTTTTTTCTGGAGCGGCTCCATATACTTTGAAAAAACTCTACCTTTGGTATAGTTTATGCAAAGTCAGTTGGAAAAACACATCACCGCAAGCCGTCGGTCCCTTTGAAAGTTCAGAGAGTGCGGCAGCGCGGCCCGACATTCCTTTGATGATCTGTTCAACCATTGAGTATTCACACTAGTGTAAATAATCAAGGGTTCAACTGACTTTGCATAAACTTTTATACAGGGTGTTTCGAAATTCGACCGACAACGCTTGACAGGTGATAGCCCTCGTGATTTCATAATCACTGAGATAGGGACAGACGGTCTTGAAGTGTTCAGTTCTCGAGATATAGGGCGTTGAAGTTGAGAAATTAAAATAGTTTTTTCTCGATATCTCATGAAAAATTGAATTAAATGCATTCAAATTCGGTATATGGTTTGATCTTCCAATGGTTAATTTTTTGACCAGAAAGACATTCCGAGAATTTTATCCAGAGGTGCGCTACAGAGGGTTGTGATAACTTTTCCGCACATATTTTCTACGCCACTGATGAAATTTCAATTATTTCTAATTTCTCGAATTGATTGTTCAATTATGTTGAAAAAGTGCATCACCTTCAACTAAGCTAAAATGAACAGTTATCGAGATATTTGACCCAAAATAGAAGTTCTATTTCTGTTCAGCTATAGCATGAGATCTGAATAGTATCTAATCTACTCAACACCAGAAAAATATTTTTGCAATTTTCTACTACTGAAAATGATGAAATATTACTATGCAATCTTCTATTTTGGGTCGAATATCTCGAAAACTGTTTATTTCAGCTCAGTTGAAGGTGATGCATTTTCTGAACAAAATTGAACAATGAATTCGAGGAATTGGAAATAATAGAAATTCAATCAGTGGCGTAGAAAATATGGAAGGAAAAAATGCCACAACCCCCTGTAGGGCACCACTGGACAAAATGTCCGGGATGGCTTCCAGGTCAAAAAATGGCCCATTCAAAGATGAAACCATATTCCGAAGTTGAATGCATTATATTCAATTATTCTTGAGATATTGCGAAACAACTATTTTCATTTCTCAACTTCAACGCCCTGTATCTCGAGAACTGAACACTTGAAGACCGAATGTTCCTATCTCAATGATTATGAAATCACGAGGGCTATCACCTGTCAAACGTTGTCGGTCGAATTTCGAAACACCCTGTATATCAAGCAATCAAAGACTATTAGCAGACCATGCTGAACCTACCTACACAGATTGAAATCACAATATCGTATCTCCTGCTGTCTAGTGGTGACTGTGCCAATCACTACTGAAAAATCTTCTAATATAACGAAGAAATCTCGAATTTCATTACCACTACCTCATCTGAACAATCATAGATGGCGCGAACAACCTCTAATGAGTACAGTGACTCTGTACAGAGTCACTGTACTAATGAGGAAAAGAATATTTCCACTCGTAATTTGAGTAATTTCTCTTTTCTGTACATTATGTATTTTTGGTGTATTCTTTTATTTAACCAATATCAGGTATTTAAAAATTCAAAAATCTAAAAAATGTAGATCCAAATAGCAAAACCCAAAATTTACAATGCCAATAAAAAAGAAATTGAACAAATAAAGCGTATATTTCAACGAAACAAAATGCAAGAACTATTTTTGGAACGATTCAATGTGAAATCCAAACAAAGATGTTTTCAACAAAAACACTAGATATAGGTATTTATAGCAATCTATTCATATTACGGTCAACAACACTGCGGTAGTCATTCCATTTAAAGCCTTATTCTTGATAGTTTATCACAGTTTCCCCTCATCAATACAAGATTCAATAATTACTTATCGGCCAAAGATAAAAATAATAATTGATCTAAAAGTGCCTCCAGCAGAAAATCTCAATATTTCAAAATGGCCTCTTCTGATTTGCACCAATAAAGGGCCAATAATCTGTAAGTATATACCACTTATTTTCCTCATTCATACTAACCGTCTCATCATTTCCTGCATGCATTGAATTTTCTCCACCCAAACCCTTTGAGTCCCAAACATACCCTGAAACTGTTGGATTCTGTCAAAAAAAGGGCCTTTCGTCTCGTGGGTGATGCCTCGCTCACAAACTCACTCACTTCTTTGGAACACCGTAGAAAAGTTGGCGATCTAGCTCTTTTTATAGATATTTTCATGGACGATGCTCTTCTGAAATATCAACAATTGTTCCTCCCTTGGCAGTCCCCGCGAGATTAACCCGTCGAGTTGAGGCTTCGCACCCCTTCGTGGTCACTTCGGAGACCTGCAGAACATCTCTTTCCAAAGACTCGTTCATCCAACGAACAGCGAGGCTCTGGAACACATTGCCAAGGGTGGTGATCCCCGAGGCATAAAACCTCCAGAAATTTAAGAAGAAGACCAATTCCTACTTATTTCCCTTGGTTCTCACGATGTTCTCTGAACATTACAGGATATCCCTTTTCGTGGGAACCAGAACATAAAAAAAACTACTGAGGCGCCACTGGAATGAATACAGTAAATCTAGTTACTTGTGCAAAAAGATACATCATTACATATATATTGACAAACAAATCTGCTGATAAACTGAACAGGAGTTCTCCTTATTTTTCACAAACTGAACAACTCTCATCGAGTTCTATATTCCCTATCAATATTACCTGACCACAATCTGAAACACCTTGTATGATATCAAAAAACACCTGTAGATCAATCGTTCCAAAAAGTTGGGACCCCATCGCTGAAAAAAACCTGTGGCACATTTCAGAAATGGAGTTGACCACCTCCAAGCTGGTCCCAGACGAAGTATTGGAAGCATCCAGCTGCCACCTATGCTACAAATACTTGACAGTCACGCCGATCCAGAGCATTGATGGCTGCACCATCTGTGGCAGGTGCAACCCCAAAACAGCCATCAAGGCCATTCTCCAGTTCCACGGAAGCTTCTCCTCAGACCAGCCTCTCAAAGACCTACCAGTCAGCCTACTTGGATACATGACCAACCCAAAAAGCCTCTACCCGTGCGTGAACAGACTAGATGGCTGTGGTGAGCTTCTGAAGCTCACGGACATCGAGAAGCACGAGGAATATTGCTTGTATGAAGACACAAGCTGTCCGAAATGTAGTTTCAAAGGAGTGGGAAGCCAGCTTTGGCAGCACTTCAAACGCCACCATCAAAAAAGCCTGTTGTGCAGCTCCACTCCGTTTTACGTGGATCTCAGCCAGAGCTTCCAGGAGGTTTACCTCTTCAGGAAAGGCGATTTTGTTTGCTGGCTGAAGATGTTTTATCAAGAGGAGTTCAGCCAGTGTCTTTTCCAGACTACCTGCGTGACCAGAGGTACCAGACGATCCAAGATAAAGTTGTCGCTCAATATGGATGGTTTCGCTGATGTTTACGAGTATGTTGTCTTATCAAATCAGCTGGAGATGCGCGATAAGAGAGACTATGTGATAAATCTGAAGATCGACGATATACATCTGAAGGAGACACCTTTCATTGTTTGTAAATATGATGTGGTATCGTTAGACTGAAGTTATAAATACTTGTCTTTCCAGTGTTTTGAGAACAATCGTTGATTTAAACTATATAACAAAGCATATAGTACAATTCGACACATGTGCTATGTACTCAATGAATGATGATTCGAATAGATATAATTGGCACGTATATGAACAGCTACATACAGGGTGAAGACATTATAATAGGAATAAATTCTCTAAAAAGGGGCTGAAATATTTTTTATTGAATGAAAATAGAATTTTAGGTGTAAGACATTCACACGACATGTTTCGCTAATACAGTAGCTTCATCAGATGAAATACTGGTACAATGAAACATTTCTACCATCAGGATTTCACCTGATGAAGCTATTTAGCGAAACATATGTCGTGTGAATAATAATTTGGTGAAGTTCTCGAATTTTCTATGGATTTCCATCAAGAAACGACCAAGTCGAAAAAAAATATACAAGGTGTTCTTGAAATAAGTGATATCAAATTTTTTCTAATGGGCATGTACACCTCAGTAGAACTTTTAACTCAAACCATGTTTATAATGATCCGTTCATACATGAATAAGGATTGACGACATAATTTTATCGAAAAATTAACTGGAATGTTTTATTTTTGAACATAAATAATAGTACCATCTGAAAACGGACCCTCTTATGACGTAGAAATCTCATCTCGCTATAGTTAAAAAAAATACCAAAAGCCCGACGGAGACTGAGGCAACTGATATATTAATTGTTTCAACTGTGATCTTGTGCTAATTCACTCTGTCAGAAATCATGTATCATTCATCTCTGTCTGGAATAGTCTTGTTTCAGAGGTCCGAAAAATCGGGGATTTCAATAATTTTTTATAAAACGTAGGGAGCTCACAGCAAGAAACGGTTTGCGGTGGTGAGCTAGTTTGGGTGAGTTCTATCAAATTATGAAATCAATTTTTTTTGTGATATAAGCCCATTCTTCGGACCCCGCACAAAAACACGGGAAATTGGCTCTCGGTCGAATTGGCTGAAATTTTACTATGTTTTTGTGGGATGGCTCATTAGAAAAATATGTGAGTTTGAAAAGTTTTGTATGTTTAGTTTCTGAGATATAAGCCGACAAAGTTCGTAAAAACGTCGTATCGGGGTAGGATTGACAAAGAAAAAAACTGTTTAGGTAAGACAGAATAAGCTAGAGTATGTATTGATTGGAACTCAAATAAATGTCCAGTTATGATCACATAAATTATAGTAAGTCAGGGTGTATACGAGACACGGTCAAAAAATTAATTTTTCGGAAAAAAATTCGAGCACTATTCCAAAACCAACAAACTATATTTTGATTCTTGATAACTATCTCTGTTCGAAATATGAATTTTTCGAATTTTGTGTTATACCCCTTTTTGAAAACAATTGACAGCTTGTTTTTGATCACAAAGAAAGGAATTGATTGATACTGTTGATTCAATCAAAGCTGACGTAACTCACTAGGGAATTCAGTTGTTCAATATTGCCTTTCATTCAGTTGAATATCTCGAGAACAGTTCCGTTAATTTGGATCTCATTTTACTCACACTATTTTGAATATATTGACTATCATATGCAAAATGTGTTTAAATTTTTTATGTTTCGTTTCTGAGATATCAATTGATGAGTTTACAGTATCACAGGTATTGTAGGGTTATTACCTCGGATATTACTATCGATTTAACAGAACTTTACGGAAACTCTCGATTATTCAATAACCTACATTATAAAACTATTAGAAATCAATAATTCTTTACTATAAACAACGTAAAGTTCTGTTGATTCGATAGTAATATTCGAGGTAATAACCCTATAATTCCTATGATACTGTAAACATATTCAAAATAGTGTGAGTGAAATGAGATCCAGATTAACGGGACTGTTTCTCGAGATATTCAATTGAAACATGTTAAATAATCTTCAACAAAATCTAACACATCCTGTATCTGAATGAAAGGCAATATTGAACAACTGAATTCGCTAGTGAGTTACCTCAGCTTTCATTGAATCAACAGTATCAATCAATCCCTTTCTTTGTAATTAAAAACAAGCTGTCAATTGTTTTCAAAAAGGGGTATAACACAAAATTCTAAAAATTCATATTTCGAATTTCAGCATTCCAAAGAGGAGTTTTAAGCATTTGAAAAAGAACATGATGAGGGTTGTTTCAGCTACCCTCAATGATCTATATTTATTATATTGCCTGCAAATGTAGGTAAGTATATTGAAACTTTGAAGTGTAGAGCTTGAATAAATTTTTTGAGAAAATATATGCATCTTCCCGCTATAGCGAATTAATTCCAGTTAAAGTCTCCATCTTGTATATATTTTCTGCACACTACACTACACCTACTTGAAGTTCACCGATATGAATATTTTGATTGATAATTAGATAAAATGAATACTTACAAATATTAACTGGATAATTCCACATATCATGAAAAACTTAAGTACCGCTAATGTTGATACATGATCGTATCTTCAAATAGCTCAGTTTCTGAAGATAAAGTTTCTTCGTCTATTTCATCATATTTCTTCCATAATATTTTCTGCGCTACTTATTGAATTTTGATTATTTTGAGTTTCCTGTTTGATTTTTCTTCAGTCCTTCAGTCAGCTACACTCACTACCAACTATAATATGTTCGTAATTGATCTGTGTTTCGCTAACTATGTTAACATCTTCAGGAGAAGATTGAAACTCAGAAATATTCGGACATGCTGGCTCGAGAAAGTCAAGAATTTACTATAATATAATTGGTTCCACCTATTATGTTTTATTCAACCACAGGACTCTAACATCTTTTTGATAACTTGATAATAATTGTTGACTTGGCAACCTTGTTTCGCGAGTGGGCATGGAAGACTATCTGACCAATAACGAGACAGCTGACGTCACCATTTATTCGACGTATCGCCGCCAAATGGCGGTCATGACGATACGTTTGAAATGAGCTCTGAAATTAAACAATTTCGAACAACGCAATAGACTCATTATATATTTACCTAAAAATGGGCGAGAAGTGTTGCAGAAATTGATTCAGGTCCCTAACGGCGTAGTGGAGTAATTCAATACCAATAACTCGTATTATTATTCCACTCGCCCATTCCTAGACGAACCTCAATCTAAAACACGGTTTTATTATAAAAACGCGGCCAACCCTTGATGAGACCATAAACGTGCTCCCCTGGGCTGAGAAACATCTTAGGATTGGTCTGGTTCTCTCCCACCAAAATGTACTCCTCGGCGATCTTCTTTAACTGCAACCCTTGCAACACCAGAAGCTGCACTGCATCGATCATCGCACCAGTAACGTTATCGTACTCATAGTCACCGATAAAGTCGATCCCTATGCTGTTTTTCCTGTGCATATTCTCGATATCCCAACCCCTACCCACGTAAACGTTCGAGTCACCCCCTATGGCGAAGTTGTAACCTATGTCTGGAGTCTTGGAGTAATGTTGGTGAAACTTCTGCAGGTACTGCATTTTCTCCGAGCAACTCTTCAAATCGTCACAAGGTCTAGTCTGGCTATGAGAGATGACGACCAACGGTGCTGGTTGTCGCAGCTTCACCCCTGGAAGCTTGGGGGGAGAACCGCCCCATTGTTTTCTGTAGAAGACCGTGTGGTTGCCTAGTTGGTCTCCGTAGTGGGCTTCTTCGTAGTCTTTTAGCTGGTGCAGCAGCTTTCTAACCACTGTTAATGTGATCGCTATGGTGACTAGGAGGATAGTTGCTATGATCATGGCATTGCGAACCAGTCTTCTGTGTTGGTCTATGGTGGTGAGAAGGAGATGGAACCACGTTGTTTTCAGCTTGGTTCCTCTCAATCGGGCTGAAACAACAGGCACTTTTTAGGACGTATGGAGTGTGTTTGAGAATAGAAAGTTATGGCCACTTGAGTCAATAATGACAGACTTGTACATGGAGCCCATAAAAGCCACTTCCTCTATAATCTGCTGAATATTTTGGAAGATTATTTATGCTTCTGTGAAAGTTTGGTGAATACATTTTGGCGCAAATTGAAATTTTCTCTTGAAAAATTGTGATTGAGCGCCTTTTTAATGGTAAAGAGATTGAATGGCAACCAAAAAGACTCAGGAATAGTTATAGCATTTATGAAAAGACTGCTGATTCGGAATATTCGGATTGGTAGCGAAATCATTTTGAAGAATTCTTCTCTTGAATTGATGCCAATACCAAGTTTTCAATTATCACCGCCACCAGAAAAATTTCCAACACCCTTCTAATTCATTATTACGAACCTAGGAGCAGTCAACATTGATATTTTTGCTTACATTACAGCATTTCTTTGGAGTTGAAGCAAAAATGCTGGACATTGGCTGTTCATATTTCTAGTGCAGTTGGGGTCAAACCAGCTCGGTCTTCTTTAATTCTGAACCTAATGATTAATCAACGTAGACATCTACTTGTGTGATTTTTTGTTTCAAAAATATGTCCAATCAAATTTTATCTTTGTTATTCCTCCAGATTATTTCGAAAACGGAATCATCAGCCATAGTATAGTACCAAAAATATACTCGTATATTTGCAAGTCCAATGTCAATACACATATCTGTCCATTTCACAATAGAAACACTATAGAGTCCATAGTTTTGTATACACATCAACTCCTCCTGAGGTCAATATCGTCGAAATGTGAAAAGCGCTTGATCACTTCGTAAGCAAACACTCCCGGACTAAGCGTCTGCATGGTCTGATTGTGCCCAATGAGAATGTAATCCTCAGCAATCTTCACTAGTTTCACCCCTTTATCCAGAAGCTTTCGAATACTCTCTATAGCACTGGCATTGAGCATCATTTTGGTGAAGTCTCCAATGAAATTGATGCCAATGCTCAACTTGGAATGACAGTTTCTGGTCTCCCAGCCTCTACCTTCGAAAATGCTCCCATCACCCCCAATCAGGAAGTTGTAGCATACGTCACTCAGATTTATATCGAAATGATCTTTTTGTATACCTCTGACGATTCGCGAACAAGAATCGAAGTTGTCGCAAGCACTGGTGACACTGTGGCTGATGATGACCAAGCCTATAGGGAGTGGTAGAGGTCTGACGGACTTAGGCTCTGCCCCACCCCACTGCTTCTTGCTGTAGATGCTGTAGTTGCCCACTTGGTCTGCCTCCCAGTGGTCGTGGTCTCCTTTTTTGCAGTTGTTCTTCTCGGAGCATTCCTCTGGGTGACTGGATAGGGTCAAGTAGGTCGAGATAGCGGCTATAGTGATGATGACGAAGACAACTATGAGAGCGATTCGGGTTTTTTCTTTCCTGATGTGGTCGAGTAGAGTCAGGAATATCCTTGGGTGGTTTGGTTTGACATTGAGGACTGAAATCAAAGAATTTTGTTAGATGGAATTGATGCTTGGGGGGTTCAAGGAGGGCAGAAACCTCTCGTGCCCAAAATAAAGGTAGTTTAAGGTTAAAAAGCTGTTAAATGACATTTGTGTTAGTCGCTTTTGGAGTTCGGTGGAATATTTATTATTTATGTTCTCCAGGATCAGTTATTATATTCGAAACTTGCACCAAACCTATTGGCAGTTTTGAATTCTGGAAGGATATCCTAAAGAATCTAAAGGTATTGGACTGATCTTCTTGAGTCAGTCCAAAACGAATGAAGAAAACATTAGGAAAAAAACGCATTTATTCAGAGTATCAATCATCAGGTACTGGAATATCGATCGAAGCAATAAATCCCGTTATCATAACGATCCCAAGTAATCACAACACAACACTTCATAGTCTTTTGCAAAGTACCCTGGGTGATGCCTCGCTCACAAACTCACTCACTTCTCTGGAACACCGTAGAAATATTGGCGATCTGGCGAGATTAACCCGTCGAGTTGAGGCTTCGCACTCCTTCGTGGTCACTTTGGAGACCCGCAGAACATCTCTTTCCAAAGGCTTGTTCATTCAACGAACAGCGAGCCTCTGGGACACATTTTCAAGGGAGGTGTTCCTCGATGCATATAACCTCCAGAAATTTGAGAAGAACACCAATTCCGACCTCATTTTCCTTGACTCTCACGATGTTCTCTGAACATTACAGGATATCCCTTTTCGTGGGAACCAGAACATAAAAAAAATGCCATGCCAGGTTTGACTGGTGACATTTATGGAAGCACTTCTTGCAAAGTGGCTGGTTGATATGTTTTATGAATATCTTTCTCATTATTCATCACCTGAAGATGTTCTCATAATAAAAAACTCCGAAAAATTATTGAACTAACCAGAAAAGTTACGATGGTTTCACCTGCAGGCTCGGTTATCTATGAACCTTGCACCAAGCCTATTGGTATTTTTTATTTCTGGAAGAAGATTCTGGAGGTATCGAACTGCGATGCTGAGTAACTGTTTGAGTCACTCCAAAACAAATGAAGAAAACGTTAGAAAAAAACACATTTATTCACAGAGTATCATAAATCATCAGGTACTGGAATATCGATCGAAGTAAGTCCCTTTATCATAACGATCCCAAGTGATCACGTGCTTGTACACATTCCTACCGGGACTCGAAGTCTTCAACATAGTTTGGTTGTGACACACCACTCTATAGTCCTTGGCTAAGTGCCCTAAAAGCAATCCCTGTTCTATCAAACTCCTGGTTGCTTGTATCATATCTGGAAAGAATTCGTCGTAGCTGAAATTGCCATGGATAGCTATATCCAGAGTGTCGTTGGTGAACTGGTTCTGCACCCCGAAGCCTCTTCCTACATAAATCCTACCATCTCCTCCTATCAGGAAGTTGTACCAGATATCTGGGGCTCCTAGAAAGAAATGGTAGTCCTGGATGTTCCTGGTCAGCGTGGAGCAGTCTTTCGTGGTCGTGCAGAACAATCCAGCAGTGTGCTTCAAGATGACCAGTTTGGCAGGTTCGCTTTGGATTTTCTGGCTCTTCGGTGGGCTTCCATGCCAGGTTTGTCTGGTGATGTATTTCTGTTGGCACTTCATGCAGGCTGGGGTGGGGCTGATTATGGTGGGGGGTTCGGTTTGTGTTGACTGGATCGGTTGCAGTTTGACGATCACGGTGGGTACTACGATGAGGACTAGTCCGAGGCTCATCCAGGTTGTGTATTTGATTTTTTTATTGGTGGTTTTTGGGTCAGGTTCTCTGGATATAGGTTCGTCTGAAAGAAACATTTTTGTTTTAATTCGGTGTATTTGTATCAGGAATATTAGGATTATGTGGGACCACGTATGTAGCAATAGCGCTTGTGTGTTTTATCTGTACTACATGGTGTGTTCATCTTTAAAAGGGAGTTGAAAAATGTGACTAGGTTATGCTCATTTTATCTTCAGATGCATGATTCGCTGAGATTTTCGGATTCAAAAAATATTTTTTTATTGACTATTCATTGTATTGCAATACAAAAAATCCATTTTTTATGTTGAGAACGGGAGCAGATTCGTTCTCGAAACGTCCAGAGATAAGTAAAAATTTGATATTTTTTTATATACCTTTATTCCTCTTCTCCAGACCTTTTTCAATACAAATTGTCACTGACAAGCTAGTGAATTTTTTTTTAGGCTCTCTGATAGGAAAATTCTTTAAACGCAGTAACATTTTGGTGCAAATCATCTGATTTGTCCTAACCACACGTATATTGAAATAGTTTTCATATTTTCTTTTCCTCATAGAGACGAGGAGAGAAAATCCCAAAAAATCTGGAATAATGAACTTTTCTTCTTATTTTGACTTCAGCAACATGCTCCTCTGGATGTTTTACACGTACTTAAGAAACACCCTGTATATCTCGTTATTTCTTCGAGGTACCCTGTATAAGTTGATTTGAGTAAACGTTGATTTTGTGAAAAAGTAAAACATTTGATACAAACTTATAGAAAAAAATTAAGGATATTTTCAAACGTAAAAGACAGATATTTTTTCTAGAAACATTTCTTGGAGCAAAAACAAAATATCCCCAACTTTTTTCGATCAGTTTATTTATATTAATCTGCATCTATTCAGATGGATAGATTTGGGATCAAATTTTACATGCTTCATATCTAAATTAGTATAAGGCGAGAACAAATAATTACCAGAGGCGATTCCAAAGAAATTCAATATGGAGATAGCATATCACACAATATCGTCACTTTGTATTCTTCATTCCTCTTTTTAATTTTTTTTGTGTTCTTCAATGTTAGCTTCTTGACTTTTTTCATCCTTCTTGATGGTGTAGCACTTCATTGAAGAAATTCACTATATGATTATTATGCGAATATGTTTTGAAATCTCTGTAAAGATTCAATTCATACCATCGAAAGTCACTTTCCTTTCAACTAGATATCCCTAACATTCTGGTGATCTTTCCAAAAGACATTTCAGTTGACAGTTGTTATTTGGAAATCAGTACCTAGCCCACTAATCATCATCCAGGTCTCCATCAGGTTATTTTCCATCAATGTTAGCATGTTATATCATGACCTTAGTTTTTCTGAATTGTGATTCAATCAATTTCGAAATGGAATAAGTGATCGACGAGATTCAAGTAAAGTTCTCTCACCTTTGATGAGTGAGTATATATTAGCTACTAAAAATGAGGAAGGGTTGATGTACGGTAGGTATGTACAGGGTGTCTCCTTATATTTTGACCTCTACCTACTGCTTCAACTATAAAAGGTGGAAAAACAACTTTAAATTTGAAAGTTGTGAGGTTTCATCTCATAAACTTAGACGTATCGCAAAATAAAAAAAAAGAGGACAAATTATTTTTTTATAATGAAACACCCTGTATATTTTCAACTGTTGTGAAAGATATTTTTCTTCTCTTCAGGAATATACAGTAAGTCTCAGTAAGTTGTAACAATATGGGAAACTACTTTTTTATTATTCATTTTAGGAAAAAAGTTAGTTTTCATAACAGGTTCTGCATGTTCTGAAATCTAAAATATAATCATCAGAATTCCTCTCGACAGCATGCAATCTAAATGTTATTGCATGGCAACTTTGATCCTATGCTAAATAAGTGAAAAATGACTTGAGAAAACATTAGCAAACTAAACTACTCAACACTAATTTCGTCGCACACCAAAATGTCGCCTCTGTTATAATGTGAATAACTTTTTTCAGTTTGGAACAATTTGAATCTGGTTCACATTTCACACTGTTCGATAGACCAGTCCTTCAGCTATAATCTCGTACTTCATCGAAACATAACCCAGGTAACACGGTACTCTCCGCGATATCTCTAAGTAGTTATCTTCAGGATCAAAATGCGAAATCCTTCTGCGAGGTATCAAAGATCACTATAGGCTGTCACCATGGGAAATACTCTCTGGAGTCGTCCGAAAGAAATCGCGGAGATCTCGCCTCAGATTTGATATATTCCTCATTATTGCGAATCCTTGAGGTTATCTATAACAGGAAATGAATAGGCATTTCTTTCTGCGAGCACCCAAGGATATCCTGGACGTAACAAGATCGAGAATTTCCCATTGCGAGCTCCTAAAGTAATCAAAAACATAACCTGAATAATTAATGAATATTCCTACAAAAATATTGAGTTGTTTTTTTCAATAGCCTTTATAATTCAAATACTGGGTGTCCCAAGTTATCGTTTACAGGCAATATCTCGCCTATTTGTCAAGATATCAAAAGCATTAAAAAACTGCATTAAATGGCATTAAATATCCTTCCTAATGGCTTATGAAGAATGTGATATATTTGGCAGCCCCCGGATGGTAGATACTGATCTAGTAGCATATTGTTTCTGAAAATTGCGTGTCAATCTATTTGGAATACAACGATATAGCACATACTTTGTGTTTTGTTCTTGATAACAACAAAAACATGAACATTTTGTGACTTTTTTACGTTACTCAAATGACAAATTGCTTTCACCCATGTGTTCAAGAAGTTCACAAATAAGAAGTATGGATTGCATTTTTGTTTCAAAATATTAATGACAGATATTCCATTTTGAACTGCAGAACATCAATCATTGCAGACGGTACCTACCTAGTGTAATAATTAATCTAATTTCATTGTGGGACATTTTTACGAACATGGGAGGAGGCAATTTTCAATCGATGTAACGTAAATGAGGTCAAAAGATTGTATTGTTAATGTTGTTATTAATGAACAAAATACAAAGTACCGATGTGCTATCGTGCATTCCCGAAATAGGATGATGATTGGCAATTTTCAATGACAATATACAGGGAGTCCATTAAATGAAAATTGAGGAGTTGCTACCAGGTGGCTGTCCAATCTTATACACTTTTTTTGAGTCATAAAGAAAGTTCTCTGATGTCATTTGAAGCATTTTTACTATTTTTTGTTCATCTTGTCTAGTAAGCAAGTTTTTGCTGGTACCTTTACGATAACTTGGGACACCCAGTATTAACATGAAATGGGAGTCATTAATCTATGATAATAATCATTGTATACTAGATACTAGATTTTCTTACTGATTATTTCAAATTTTGCAGTGAATTAATGATAATTAATTATCTGCTCTGACGAAAAAGACAAAAATGTTCTAATTCAGGTGGGATCGTGAATCAAATATCTACCTCAAATTCGTGGGTAGATATCGGACGACCTTTTTTTCAAAGGATACCCGGCCAACTCCTCGGAGATTTTTTCAAGTGATAAAGTTTACTTGATCAATGTCTTGCTATAGAATAATATATAATTGAAGCTCATTACGTTGATCTAACTCTAAGTTTGGTAACTCAATCTTTTTCGCTGAAATAAATATCCAGTAAATTCAACTCCACCCCAAACAATATAGCTGGCGCTAGTTAGACTTCGCCGACAGGAGACTGGTGATAACCAATGACCTCTCAAACATTGAACACCTTACCATATTAGTGGCGATCAAGTGGCGATTGATGCAAATATCGCTCTTAAAGGCCTCGTTATAAGGTGATGTGCACGGATTCTTGAACAATTCATAGTTGCGAGCACTTGAAGAGTTCGCTATTAGTAATTGATGCGAATTTCCCAAAGTTCTCTTCACAACGCGATGCGTGCGAAAATCTCAAACAGCTCGTAGTCGCGAGCACTCAAAGACCTCCACAGAAGCAATTGATGCGAATCTCCCAATGTCCTCGTCACAAAGCAATGTATGCGAATTTCTCAAACAGCTCATGATTGCGAGCACTTTCAGTTATCGCCAGTGGCGATGGAAGCGTATATCTCAAAGTGCGCGCCTGAGGGCATTGTATGAGAATTTCTGCGTGCGATATCTTCAAGACCTCGCTGAGCTCAGCCTAGGTGGCGGACATTTGGCATAGATATAGCACTCTCGGCGATGTCTCAAAGAAGTTACAAAAGGCATCACAATTTCCTAAAAGGATTTCTTCAAGATATCTTTAGGACCTCTTAGTGCTGGCTGGGAAGGGTATTCACATAAAATCTCTACATGATGTAACGTTGGTTACGGCGTGCCATGCATTACAGAGGAGAAATGATCTAATGTTTTTGCAAGAACATGTTTCAATTGTGTTTTCTCACGCAAAATTCTTGACTACTGAGAGCGAGGAAAATATGGACGCATCCAGAATGAATTGTTTTTCCGAGAACAAGTTGATTTTCATTCAATTCTCCTCCCAACCGAGATTCGGAGGGCGTTCCAGATTTGGGTCACTTTCAAGAAAACTCTAGATCTTTGATAGCCATCTTGAGTCAATTCTGATATTCAGATCTCTTCATCTGAAGTGTTATCTTCAAAATGAGCCTAAGATTTCCAAAATCGGTTGACGTGGAAAAAAGTTATGGCTGCAAAACCAAAAAGTTGATTTTTTGAGATCACTCTGTAAATAAGAGAGATAGGAAGTTGATTCGCGAAATATCTCGAGGTAATGAGATCATCTTCATGCCTCTGTTGTCGAAGTTGAGGAAACAATTTTTTTCACCATTTGAGAGCCTTTTGAATATTCCGAAATTTTGCACAGTGTCCGAAAACACCATGTAGAGATTTTATGTGAATACCCTTATGTTTCAATGAAGTACCAGATTATAGCTGAAGGACTGGGCTATCGAACAGTGTGAACCAAATTCAAATTGTTCTAAACTGAAAAAAAGTTATTCACATTATAACAGAGGCGACATTTTGGTGTGCGACGAAATTAGTGTTGAGTAGTTTATATATATTTAATCATTTTGCAATTCGCATCTGTTCGTTTAAGAAGTGCCAAATTATAGTACAGATGAAATCCAACGCCTTTATATATATTTGAAGTTTTTTTCCACCTCGTGTAGTTGAAGCTGTAGGTACAGGGGTCAAAATATACGGAGACACCCTGTACTGTGTACTTGTCACCCATGCTAAGATGTCGTTACTTCCATCTTACCGATTGAGATCGCATAAGCAACAAAAATATATTCTCAGAGGTATAGGTGTGTTAAAATATTGAAGATTGAAGTCCAAGTACCATTGATGAGCTCTGGTAGACCGAAACAGCATGTCTGATAACTCCAACAAATAAGCAAAATGTCGTGGCAAATGAGAGCGATCACATAAATCCGTACAGTCCAGCGTTGGGGATGCTATATTACAATTGTACTGAATCTATTACTATTACACCTTGCTTAGTACGCATCAGAGATAAGTTATACCCACAGAAAGTACGCATATACGACAACAGATGAAACCTCCTCAAGAATATAAGACGAATTTGCATCATTCTGAAATAGCCAACCTCAACGTGCTCACTGTATAAGAATTCACCTTCTATTTCTGTCAGAAGTATTTATTTTGTTTTATTCCACATTTTCAGTATTGACCGAGTTATTTATTCCGTTCCATTTTTCGTTATAGTAGCCATTGAGTGTTTATATTGTTTCAAAACTACCTGAATGAAGTTTCATTTTCGATATTCCTATATTCTTTTCATCACATCGAATCTAGTACGATCTATTACAATTGCGTACTAGATTTTAGTACGAAGGATCGCTACTAAAAACCCAATAACGCTGCAGTACACAGCAAGTTTTGTTAATGGTTAGTAGTTAGTTAGTTAGTTGGTTAGTGGATACAGTGGCACAGCTCCTCTTACCAGAACATTAGGAAAATACATTCCTGGATCGTAATGCGGCCACTTCCTCACCTCCCCACAAACATGCACCCCCGGACTAATAGTATTCATCGTCTGGCTGTGGCAAACCACCTTGAACCCCTCGCTGAGAAACCCCCTTCTCACCCCGTCCTGCAGCAGAGCCTGCACAGCCCCAAACATCCTCTTCTCAGGCTCGTCGATATCGAAAGACCCAGTGAACACGATGTCATAAGTGTCGTTCCTCTCCTGGGGCTGCACTCCCCAACCTCTACCCTCGTATACGTCCCCATCGAGGCCAATGAGGAAGCTGCAGTAGATGTCCGGGTTACCCCTCTGAACGCTGAGGCTCTGCAGGGTTTGCAGCAAGGGAGCGCATGCTTGGAAGCTGTCGCAGGTCTTTCCCCCAGTGTGCTTTATCACCACTAGATCAACAGGTTTGGTGATGTTGGTCCGCCATTTTGCTTTGCGCGCTCCCCAGTCTTCCCTCCTGTAGAACTGGTAGGTTTGGTCGTTGGAGATGGGTCTTGGTGCAGGGGGTGGTATGACGTCAGGGGGTGGGTCGGTTTTGAGGGTCAGCAGTAGGGTGACGGTGGTGGCGGTGAACAGAAGGGCGGCTAGGGTTAGCCAGAGGACGAGGTGGACGATGGTTTTGCGCTTGCGGAGCTTTGCCGGGTCGGGTTTTTCCGTTACGGGTAGAGTCGCTGCAAAAAGGCATGGGCTAGCGATTATTGTGGATTCTTTTTTTTGAATTGACTCGGCCGTTACTTGATGGAAATCCATGGCAAATGTAAAAACTTCACAAACGAGAAGATTTCCACAAAATTCGTAAGCACACTACATGTTTCGCTATAACACAGTAGCTTCGTCAGGTGATATACTGGTACAATGAACTAAACCAACGTTGGCTTGCTTAACTTTTATATATCGTACTTTCCCAACTTGAAGGATTAGTTACCTGTGGACAGGATCGATAAACCTCCATTTTCGGAAATTAGGCACAATATCTACATTAAATTACGGTATACCGGATCAACTTGAAAGAGTTGATAGCAAATACATATTATTACTTACTAAGAAAACAAAATTCAACAGTGGTGAACTATTGAGGTCTAATTGATCATAATGGTTGAGTTTCCTTTCTGCATGTAGAATTTCGAAATTATCATCAAAACTATGGTTTTCTTCTAATATATGTTTGGCGTATGTTGAATTTGTTTCCTTTTTCAAAAAAATTCATCTTATGTTATATTTCGGATTATCAACTGAAAAATCAGGTTAGGGAAGGTTTATCAAAAATAATAAAGACAAAACTTCTGAATTCGAAAAATCAGAGGTATACAAACTCAATTGTGGATCTTGTCCTAAGGTATATATCGGTCAGACAGGTCGTACGTTTAATCAGCGCATTCATGAACATAAGATGAATATTTTGAGAAGACAACAAATTCAACATACGCCAACCATATATTAGAGGAAAACCATAGTTTTGATAATTTCGAAATTCTACATGTAGAAAATAAAGGAATTAATGAAACTCAATCATTACAAATCATTAGAAATCAACAAACTCGGAAATTTTGACATTTTACTTAGCGATCAATTAGACCTCAATAGTTCACCACTGTTGAATTTGTTTTCTTAGTAGGTAATAATATTCATTTACTATCAACCCTTTCAAAAGTTAATCCGGTATACCGTAATTTAATGTAGTAATTGTGCCTAATTTCCGAAAATGGAGGTTTATCGATCCTGTCCACAGGTAACTAATCCTTCAAGTAGGGAAAGTAGGATATATAAAAGTTAAACAAGCCAACGTTGTTTTAGTTCAGTAAATCACCTGACGAAGCTACTGTGTTAGCGAAACATGTTGTGTGTATATGAATTTTGTGGAAATCTCATTATTTGTGAAGTTTTTACACTTATTGTGGATTTGATGGATGATTGATGTTTCCATGACTTTCTGATTTTCAGTTCGTGAGTTTAGGATGAATCCCATCGCTTATTATAATTATCAGGTTCAAATAGTATCTGTATAAATGATCGATGAGTTTTTCGTCATGCTTGTCCAATATCGTGTATGATTTATTGTTCTACTTTGAGAAATTCTTGAAATATTTACAATTCACAGAGGATTGCAGTAAGGCTCGATTATGCGTAGTCGTAACAGGAACAATCCAAAATTAAAATAATAATAGTAATATTATTACAGTTTTTTATAAGATATTGCAATTCCGTTTGTTCGTAATAATTTTCAGACGTCACCGTATATGTTTACAGTATACATAATGTTTTTTTAAGCTGATAACAATCGTGTCATTGCATTAAAATGTCAGGTATGAATATATATCAACCTATAGTGGGGAAGCCGACTGCAAATTTCGACAGTCATCTGATAACGAAATGAAAAAATTCAATGATACTTCCGGTACTTCTGACAATCTGACATCGTCGAATGCAAACTCTCGTGTTCTACTGTGAACCAATAATGAAGAATTCATGAAAATTATTGGCAAACTCAACTTAAATTTTCAATATCTTCCTAAAATGTATCACGCATTTCCTTCATGTATCGCTCGAATTTCAGAAAAACCAGTGTAAGTTCTGATTTGTTCTCGGATTCATTTCATCATTCAGAGAATAATATAAAAAAAATATCAAAAAACGTCCAATTCAATTTTCACTTGCAATACCACTAGAGGTCGAATTATCACCGGATATTTTTTCGAGCTCATGGATATTTTTAAATTAATGAATTATTATGATGTATTTTCGACAGTTATATTCAATTTATGTTCTAATTTGTAATCCAATCGCGAATAAATTAGTATCGTTAGATTCGTCAAAATATCCTTTTTTTCGGAAAGTGCTTGTCAAAAAATGGTCGCCATTTGAAAAATAATAGACACGAAAATGTAATTTTGCCAACTTGTCTTATTCATATCTATCATACTTGTCACTAAAACTTCGCGATTGTAATTTTCTGATATCACCTGAGGTCCTTAGATTAGTTTACTTCCGATCATATCCACCTAGATGTAATTTCAAAAGTGACTCCGGAAAAATTGAGTAGGTATAAAAATTTCCGAAAATGTCACATTCTGATCTAGAATTGTCTCAGAAATCCAAAAATGTAACAATATACAGGGTGTTCCCTTTAAAAATTTATAGCCGGAGCCATTTCCGGTGAAACCGGAAGTGACCGGAGAGTAAAAAAATTGTGGAAATTCTCCTCTTCACATACCATTCACCTATATCAAATCTCATTTTGATACACCTAATGGTCTAGAAGTTATGACTTGTCTAATAGATTCGTTGACACCCGGTATAGTGGTATGACATTCTATGTAATAAATGCAGTTAGGGTATCAATGGATTCTTAATTGTTGATTTCTACCCAATTGAAGTGACACAAAATCACTATTTTAGGACGTCAAAAGATTATTCTGTCATTAAAACGTCATAAAAAATTTCCGATGTCCACTAAAATACTAAGGTAATTTGTCAAAAACCCAATCACTGGTGTGGAATTTTCAGTAAAATATAAATGCCATTGCATTTTTTCGAATTATTTTCGGTTCAACATAACGAGAGTTCATTTTTTTCCAAATTACGTAGGTATATTGGTGGTTCATAATTTATAATAATATTGTACATACCTATTAAACGTTTCAAATACCGTTGTTGATTATTAATAGCCACTTTCTGATAATCCAGTGACCTATTCAATGCCAAAAGTTCAACTCTCAAACCGGCCAAATCATCTAGATGGCCACACCTTTCACAATAGTCTCGATCGTTGTTTGTCTTCATATTTTTCACAAGATCAAATTCACAGGATCACTTCAATACGTTATACCGCTGTTGGGAATGTTATGGCATATTTATCCAGTATTTACTCGGAATCTTAAAAAATGAGCCTCAATCATGTAGAGAGGGGGTCACGATCAATGGGAAACCCCTTTTTAATTGCCAGATATAAACAAGTGATTGGACTTCATGATTATTATGCTAAAGTAAAAAATCACAGGTAATCCGGCCAAACAAACTGTTTATTCATTTGATGCTTGTTCCATGAATATTAATTTTATTAATGGAAACGTGTTTTTTTAATGTGAGCTTCCATATTCATCAGAAAAAATCCGTTACATTGATGTTATTTTCTATCTTGCAGATGATTACGTAGAACTCTCATTTTCACCAAAATAACTTTTTTTTTCAGAAGAATTAGGGACTAACTATACAGGGGTAAAAAGATTTCAACCACATATTCCAGAAGCAGAAATAGTAAAAAAAGCCTTTTATTGAGATATCAAAATTTTGAAAATGTATATTACTGCTCATGCCCGATTTGGAAATGTTAAGAATTTTCCGAAATTTTGATCAGAGGCGTGGGAAATAGAGAAATAGGAGTTCATGAAGATGATAGAAGAAGTGAAGGAGAGGAATCAGGAGTTGATGAGTCAAACCACGACGTTGCTGATAATTATATCAAAATTAGCCTGATATTGACCTTCGCCATGTTCAAATGTATTATAAATTCGCAAACCTTCGTCACCAACTAAATTCAACAATTTGGCTATCCTCACACTATCCTCCTGTTTATTCTTTCCACTTGCAATCATGTATAGGCAAAATTTTTGCTTCCAATGCTTCCAATTTTCGGAAACGTTACCATTGAAGTCCATTGCTGAAGGTGATCTTGATTCGGAACTCATTTTCAGTCTTGCTTATGTTTGCTTTAGATTCAATTTCGTATGTTAACGGTCTCATTAACGTTTCACCGCTGCCACCATGTAATATGTTTGATTCAGTATAGTTAATAATGAATTGATAACTTATATTTGGAAATGATTTATATTCTGACTTTCACCTTCAAATTCAAACAATAATCGTTGCCGTCCCAACGTAGATCATATTATAAAATACAGAGTACTCATATATCACATAACCCACATCTGATACTTATTTTATCACCACCACCAACAACCACCAGCTTCAAAAATTGACATAATCGCCAAGATAGTGCAAAGCAAATCTGAGTGCTCTCCTAGTACCTAGTGCCATATCACCACTCAGCTTACCAATGTCTTCTCAAAGTACATCCCAGGATCGTACCGCTGCCACTTCTTCACCTCCTTGAACACATTAGAGCCAGGACTCAAGGTATTGTAAGTCTGATTGTGGCAAACCACTCTATAATCCTCGCTCAAGTACTTCCTCGTCTCGCCGTCGTCCATTAGAGCCAGAGCAGCGTCCAGCATATAAGCACTGGGCACGTCGATGTCGTAGGTACCCATCAAGACAATGTCCACTGTGTCGTTGAGGTACTCGTTCTGCACCCCCCACCCTCTACCCTCGTACACGTTGCCATCTCCTCCGATCAGGAAGTTGCAGTAAATATCAGGATTCCCCATGGCAGCGTCTTGGCTCTGCAGGGTCTGGATGACTTTGGAGCAAGTTCGGAATTGATCGCAGGTTCTTCCTCCTGTGTGCTTGATTACTACCATCTTGAGGGGTTTTTGGACTAGCAGGCGGTACTTGGGGGGTCTGGCATTCCAGTCCAGCCTCACGAAGACCTGGTGGCCTCTCTTGAGGGGGATTTGGGAGGTGGTGGGGGGGTCTGTTTCGAACTGGCTGTCGTTGGGGTGGAAGAAGATTGCCACGAGTATCGCGGTGGTTAGCATGGCGACTAGGCCAAGTGCTAGGAACAGGAGGATTTTTACTAGTTTTCTCTTCCATTCTAGGTCGGGGTCTTCTTTGGTGCGGTGGGTTTGGGTTGGTGATGGTGACAGTTTGGCTGGATACAAAATGAGATGCGTTAGAGTTGGTGACTGGGTCATTTTTTGAACTAATAAATGCTTTTGGAATTGGTGATATGGTGACTGGGTCTTTTTTGGACTGCGAGTGTTAACAGTTACATATTCGGAATCTGACAGAAAAGATGTTTCAGTGCTCTTTCGGAGGTATTCCGAATTACTCAAGTAAAAAAATCAGGTATTAATTATCCAAATTATTTCCAGAAATTTTTTCGAGCTCATGGATATTTCGAAAATTATTCCATTCTAACTCAAACAAAGCCAAAAAATGAAGAACAATCATCAAAAAATTGTATTTATATATTATACCTTGTGTTTGATGTGGAAAGTATTATACAGGTGAAACGAAAAGACCTCTCTCAGTAAGGACTAAAGAACACATCAAGTACAATATCAAGAAAAGACATATCGATAAATCGAAGCTAACTGAACATATCCTTACTGAAGATGAACTGTCATATGGCAGAGTGTTATAATATCAAAATCATAGGAAAGGAAGATAACCAAAAAAAAATCAAGGAATCCGCTTGCATTCTTTTAAACGGAGACAATAGCATTGCTTCCTGTTCAGTTGATATAGATAGAACATGGTATTCACTACTGAAAACTGAACATGAAAATGGTAGATTAAAGATCAATGAATGAAAACATCCTGTAACTCATTTGTAGACTAAAATCACTCATTCATATGTCAACATCAGTATGGCACTGAAAAGTGTCAAACTTTAAGCAGCACAACTTTCAAAGAAAGATATTTTGCATTTACATGTTGAGAACGGGAGCAGATTCGGTCCCGAAACGTCCAAAGATAAGTAAAAAATTCGATATTTTTTCAATATATCTATATTTCTTTCCTTCAAACATTTTTTCAAACAAATGGGCGTGTACACCTTAGTAGAACTTTTAATTCAAACCATGTTTAAAATGATCCTTTTATACATAAATAATGATTGACGACATAATTCGATCGAAAAATTAACTGGAATGTTTTATTTTTGGACATAAATAATATAGTACCTTCTGAAATCGGTCCCTCTTATGACGTAGAAACCTCATGTCGCCATAGTTAAAAGAAAATACCAAACGCCCGACGGAGACTGAGGGAACTGATATATTAATTCTTTCAACTGAGATCTCGCGCTAATTCACTCTGTCAGAAATCATGTATCATTCATCTCTGTCTGGAATAGTATTGTTTCAGTATTAGGGTTTTGACGTCACATCATCGCCTCGTTTTCAGATCGAGGTCCGAAAAATCAGGAATTTCAATATTTTTTTATAAAACGTAGGGAGCTCACAGCAAGAAACGGTTGATTTTTACCCAACTGGCACAAAATCACTGTTTTAGGACGTCGAAATATTATTCTGTGATTGTAACGTCATAAAAAAATTTCCGATTTCATACGCTGGTGGGTACCTACCCACGAGAAAAAAATGTTCACTAAAATACATACGTTGCTATGGTAATTCTTCATAAGAATCCAATTCAACTGTACAAAAATCACTGGTGTGGAATTTTCGTTGACAATTCGTGCTTGATCTAATGCAAAGGAAATCAGTATTTTTCTTGATAATACATATTTTTAATATTCACCAGAGATAATGTAGCAAGGTCGTTCTGAGAGATCTAGGTAACAAAAATATTTGTTGATCACAGAGCAGTCTGAATTCATCAATTGTATCAAAATTTCACCAAATCTTATCTCATAATTCGAATAATTATTACCTATTGTGAGTGTTGTTGGTGCCTTCTAAGAAATTCATGAATTTCGTCATAAAAATGTAATGAATTTCAGGTGTTTATAGCCAACTTGATGAAAAATACACATACAAAAATAGTATTTACGAGATGTTTTGCACAATCAGTATGTATCTATGGGTGTGCAATGTTTGACATTGATCATGAAGTTGATAATGCCTCATAATGTTTTGTTTTTCATTGTCAATCACTCACCTTTCTTGTTCCTAGAATTCCAATCGACTAAATCGTTATTGTTATTCTTTTTCCTGTGCGTTGAATTCACTCGGATGAGTTTCATTCTTTTCATGTTTTTTTCACCGAACCCACGCTTTCACATCCGAACTAGAAACTGAATCAGTATATCGAAGGCAATCTTTTTGATTTATTTCAGGAACATAAACAAGTCTAAATTTGATTCAAAACTCTAAATGCGTTATTGGCAATGAAAGGGGAGGTCTGATGAACTTAAATTGGTCTATGTTCAATTGATTTCCGAAAAAGTATCGAGTGATAAGTATAACTATACCGGGTGTCACAGGGTATCGGGCCACCCCTGAGAATTCCATGAATATAATGCATGCTTATATTTTAGAATACGCTCTCTTCATTTAAAATATTTTCAGCAATGCAGTGTTGCCGCTTCTATAAAAAAGTAGCAACAACTTTGTTATTTCACATAGAATACCTTGAATAGGTACCGTATTTAATTGCATTTTTAGATCCTCCCTAAAGAGCTGATTTCATCGATACACACTTGGGGTTTATCGGAAATGATTACAGAGATATATAGGGTGTTCAAAATCGAGATTTTTCAACTTTAGGATTCGTTTGTGTCGTTTGAGGGTGATCAGAATTCTGAATCTTGAACCACCATTTATCTGTTCTGATTAAATATCAGTAAATAGTGAATCAAAAGTTGAGATGAGGACATGTGAGCCGTTTCGACCGATGATGAATAGTTTCGACACAAAAAAATAATAAAGTTGAACAATCTCGATTTTGAACACCCTATATCTATGAAATCTTTTAGGATAGACCCCAAGTGTGATACATCGATGAAATCAGCTCTTCAGGGAGAATCTAAAAATGCGATAAAATACTGAAATATTAATGTCGAAAATATTTCAAATGAGGGGAGCGTATTCAAAAATATATATAAGCATGCACATTTTCATGGATTTCTCCCAACTGATTCTCGATATAAAGATAGTGTTAGCTGGTCATGACATATCCTGTGTATAAGCAACCATTTCGGATTTGATCACATTACAATCCAATATGACGTACTTTTTCTGGAAATGCCAGCAACCTTGATTTTTCAAATAGAACACCCTGTATACTTTTACATATTCAAGTTCAACAGCTTAGAACATGTGAAATATTTATGCGCATGTTCTGCTTTTTATTGAAATTGCACTTGTTTTGACCTGTTGAACTTGAATTATGTAAAAATATTCAGGGTATCTTTATTTGAAAAACGGAAAAAAAATTGTCCATCCTGTATAGAACATGATCACTGAACAGTCGTTTATATATCGAAAGGAGCACTAGTAAGAATTGATTTAGTTGCCTATGGTTGTGTAGCAGGGCAAGAGTGGCGATACTCTTTGCTTTTCCTGTGGTAGTAACCTTTCTATTCAAACTATTTGCCTATTCGTCCAATAAATAGATGTCGCCTGCATCCACATTCTAGTCCTAAATTTTTTGCATGTTTATCAGTCCGGTACCCACGAGAGTTTTTCTTGTTGGTGTCCAAGAAATTGCGAGAAAGAGAAATTGGACGTCATGTCAATCTTTGCGTAATCCGATGCTGTTTTCTTAGTTCGAAATAGCGTATATGAGTAGTCAAGAAGCGAACCTTTTTTTTGGTTTTGACAATAATATTATCCTCTAAGATTATTGGTGCCAGGTCCTTTTTAGGTATGTAAAATTTCATGTTTTAATTTGTAGTGAATGTTGTCATTGGGAACGATTCCCAGGTTCTTGGTTAGGAACATTTTTATGTAAGTCCTGTATGTCCTTTTTAGATGAAAATATAATCCAAAATATCAGAAGCAATCACTGATTGTTCCTCCCTCAGTTTTGACACCTTACACCTGAGATTTTATTACGTAACCAGCATATCACTTGCCGGTTTTGTAACAGTTATTGCCTGAATATCATTGATACCGTGAAAAGTTATACATGAAATATATTTTTGTTTTATTCGAAGTGCGATAGCAGTTTTTTTTTATTTGAAGTCCTGACGACATTATATTTTGCTCACTCTATCATTTACGACATGATCTTTCCGGACACCTTGTATACTGAATGAGATAATAATTTGAGTTATCTATCGAAGGATACGCCAGTGTGTTTATCATCTCATAAATAATATATAATATATCACAAGAATATTTGCAATACATTTTCATCGCAATAAGTTCCAGGAACTCTAGTTTATTTTGATGTTTTGAATTTTTTGTTTTCACCAATTTTGCGCATGAATGGTTCATTAAAATTTGTTGATGAGGCGAGACACATTGAAAATACTTTATTGTTATTATATAAAGGGGATTTTCTTCGAGAATTCGCGGGATTTTTAGCATCGCTGAATAATGCCAGAACCGAATTCTAGAAGTAGTTCATTGATTCTGAAATATTTCTAATATGTACAATAATAGCGATAATTGATAAATAACATAAAATAATCAATGAGTTGACGATAACGATAACACTATCTACTCTGGCATTGGATACAATTTTTCTCTCTTTAGAATGGAATAACTATAGAATTCCATGATGTTTTTCTTGCCAACATTATTATTTTCTGAAATATTCATAGCTAATTTCAGTCTAAAGTTAGCTTAGCTATGTAGGCACCCCTTGAGTTATTGCAATAACTCTTGTAGTAGTAACGTAGTAGCTAGTTATTATAAATGGTTAGGAATTTATATTTAGTACCGGAAACATAATGTTATTTTATCAATGATAGTGCATATGGTTAATAATAGTAAATAATAGATCACATTGTTTATGTTATATGAAGATACCCTCCCCAGTTAACACAGGATATCTTATGGATATCCATTTCAAGTCCTATTCGAGGCGGGATATCCGTGGACATAAAATATAAATTCATAAGATATCCGATTGCGGATGTACTTGAGATATCCGAAACAAACGTCCTGAATACGCCCATAGGATATCCATGAGATACAGAGACAAAATGAAATGATAAATAAATAATTGAAAGGAGATCCACAAATGTAACACTTGTGCGTGGGTCTTCCAAAAGATAGCACACATTGTGATGCTCTATCTGCTATTATTATTAATTAATTCGGTTTTCAAAAACAGCGCGAGGTGGCGTAACGTCTCAAATAGTCCAAGATTGGTAGAACTGATGACTATTTATAGATCATCGATTCTACCAACCTTAGAATAGTCAAATAATGACAATCTGTCACACTGTCACATCCTATGGACGTCCATAGGATATACCAGAGCCTTTTTCGGATATCTTATGGACATCCACAATATCCATGATGGATATCCATAGTATATCCATAAGATGTAGGTACTTGTGCTATCTGGATCTGGACTTATAATAATTATTATTTCTTTTTCTATTGCATGGATATAAATAATTAACCTTGTCCATATACGAGAGCATCCTGGACTGGATTATTCTTATCACGTAAGTAACAAAAGCTCATTGTCTAGGCCTCATGCGAATCTTTTCATGATGAAATATTTTTAAAATTCTCTTCATTTTTGTCTTCCCTATTCTGATAATGTCGATAATGAAATGAAAGTTATGCCACTATTAAAATTGATCATGACCATAATAATAAGCAATTAGTAAAATATAAAAGCCACTATAAATATCTTTGAATCATTACTCTTATATTAATTTTTTTAGGGTACTTCGAATTTGTAAATCAACTGTCCAAATTTGTGCAGATCGCTTCAGACTGCTAGCAATGATAATAAAAAGTATCACAACCAAATGGGGACGACTTTTATGTTTGCTATGGTAACACCTCAATTTGCATTAATTCGCTTACCAGATACAACCTTCGAGGTTACGAGGTTTGAATACCTCATTGCAATATATTGAAGGTGACTTTTTTTACCCATTTTTTATTTAGAACACAAATAGCTTGATTCAAAACATATCTAACTGAATGCAAAAGGAACATGTTGAAACACTGAGAAACCTGGCAATGTGGCAATGTCAACTTTGCGAAAAAATAATATTAATTTCGGAAATCAATCTCGATTTCGATTATGACAGCTAGATTTCCATTTTTTCGATTTTGTTTGTGTTAAAATGGTGTGAAATTGATGCGCCAAAATCAGGAGAGATAATGAATCAAGGCATGAATTCAATAGATGTTATGCCTTATGTATTTTTTGACAAAGAATGCGATATTTTTTCTAACAAAAATGATAAATTTTCAGTTTCTGGGGAGAGAATTGGGGGAAATGAACAGGCGTCATAATAACTATTTCTTTTTTTCTGTGACGGGAAAAAAGTTTGGCATTTCATCTCTGTTGGCAGGTTATAAAATGTCACTTTTCATAAATTACTTTTTTCCCGTGGGAAAAAAGTGAGTACTTTTTTCCCAGATATATATCACATATATATACTCTGTTAATGGCTTTTCTTGTGCTATAGTTCCGAAAAATGAGTCAATAATACCGTCTCCGAGAAAGAACTGCAAGTCCTTTTATCTTCCATTCGACTTCGCGGTTTCGTATATTACTAAACAACTACTGAATTCGCAATTTTTTAAAATCAAATCACAGAATTGAACTGACAGAAGTGACATCAGATATTTGATTACTTCAAAAGAATGATAAAGATGCCTATAAAACGCAGGTGTCCCTACTGTTAAAAACTTGAAATTTCACGTCGCTAATTTTCAGATTTCGAAATAATGTAATATCTTCTCAATATTGATTCGTCCTTCCTTCTGTCACAGAAAAAAATAGTGTATCATACACGGGAAAAATATTAGATTTTAGCTCACGGATTTTTGTCTCCCTCCGCTACGCGTCGGGTGACAACACAACCTGGAGCTAAAATCTACTACTTTTTTCCCTTGTATAATAAATAACTATTACTATACTGCCAGGCGTCCTTATTGTTGAAAACATTGAGAGCCAGATACTCTATTTTTAATATGCGATTTATTTACTTCAGGGTTGGGCATATGTTTGGAGATTCTCAATTTTTTTTCTGTTCTACACAGTGGCTAATGTTGATTTTTGGTAGCTATAAATATGGCACGACAGTCAGCAGTGGATCACCATGTCTATTCAATATTAGATTATAATTATGACAGGGGAATCATTATCTCCGACCCTCAGATACCAATTTTAAAAAGAAATGGATCACTATTAATAAACTCGTATGCCGTATTCGATCTGCCATCTTGAATTTCCAAAATTTGACGAAATAATCATAATCTATGAACCCGAAATTCCCCAGATACGAAATGAACAGAATCGGATCATATTCACAAAAGTCGTTCGCGATATAGGATCCGCCAGCTTGAATTTTAACATTTTGAGGAAAGAATCATAATCTTATTCGACCCCTCTGAATCCCCCAGATACCAATTTTGAATAGAATCGGGTCAAAATTACGAAACGTTCTCGCCATATTGAATCCACCATCTTGAATTTTCAAACTTTGAGGAAAGAATCATAATCTCCGACCTCAAAATCCCGCAGATACCCATTTTGGATCGAATCTACGAAGCCCTGGAAGGGACACATAAAATAAAAAAAATAAAACTTCTAAATTCTGAGTTATAACTCGGAATTTCACATCCAATATTCCGAGTTATAACTCAGAATTTTAAAATTCCGAGATATAAGTCGGAATTTTGATGTAAAATTCCGAGTTATAAGTCGGAATTTTACATCCAAAGTTCCGAGTTATAACTCGGAATTTTGAAATTCCGAGCAATAAGTCGGAACTTTGATGTAAAATTCCGAGTTATAACACGGAATTTTAAAATTCTGAGTTATAACTCGGAATTTTGGATGTAAAATTCCGAGTTCTAAGAATTTTGAAGTTATTTTTTTTTTATTTTACGTGTCCCTTCCAGGCCTTCGTACGAATCTGATGATCATAATTATGAAACTCGTCAGCCATATTGGATCCAGACATCTCGAATTTTCCAATTTTGACAAGAAAATCATAATCTTCGACCCCAAAAACTCCCAAATACCAATTTTGAAAGGAATCCGATTATAATTACAAAACTCGATCGCCATATTGGATACGCCATATGTTTATTGTTTTTTTCTCTCATAAGAAACTTTCTCCTGACAATAACAAACAAAACGAAAAAAGAATTATTGAAATTGGTGAAGCCGTTTACGATTCTATAAAGGACATACATTATATAGATTGGTCAAAACGGCTTAGATATGTCCCTATCTCAACTTTTAAATTACTACTATCTTTGAGTATTCACACTAGTAAGAGGAACCATGCATATGGAAGCGATGAAGCCAAAATTCTCCGGGTGATCACAATTCTGAATCTCAAACCTCCCTGTAATGTGTGCCAATTAAATGTAAGTAGATAGTAAATCAAAAGTTGAAAAATATCTCTGTAATCATTTCGCCCAAGTGTGATATATTAAAGACATCAGCTTTTCAGTAACAATCCATTGAAAAAAAAACTGCTGACTGCATCATATCTACAACAATGATAGCTTCCACTGTGCCACTGTGCGTAGAACAGAAAAAAGCATAAAAAAGTCTTAATAGAAAAAAAAAATACTTCTGGTTTAGTCAGGAATTAGGTGTTTCCAGCACAAATATGCCCAACCCTGTATACACAACCTGCTTGCTGGCATCACACCGGTTGTGTAATATGAAAATAAAAGGACGAAAAATTCCAGTTCGTCTATCAATTTATTTACCTGCTCCAGCTGAACCCTCCACTACTCCTCCATTCTTCTTCTCCTCGTCATGGTCCAACCCCAACCCCAACCCCAATCTCCCCCCGTTCTCGTGCTGCCTGATGATGACATTCCCGTTGACGTTGAACTGCGTCACCGGCCCGATGATGACGTCAGTCGAATTGTCAATGTTGACAGCGGCATTCTCGAGATTGACCAGCTCCCTGTGAGGAATGACGGCAACGTCAGTGACGTCAATGGGATTTGCCAGCCCTAAGTCATCCTGGAGCACTATCTGCGAGTTGCTAGGCAACAGGGGGTAGATGTTGCTGGTTGCTAGGAACTTTTCCGAAGCGCCTTGTGGCATCTAGGCACATCTCACAAAGCGAGGAAAAGCATCAGAAGTGAGGAGTTTTCACTAGTTGTGATGCTGAATTATTGGAGAAACGAACCCTCTGAGCCTCCAGAGCGTTATCTACTGTATATGTGCCACAATCTTTCACTAATGGTCCAGACCTCCGGAGCAAAGTTAGGTACCAGATCGTTTAATGCGTATTTGTCACAAGTTTTCTCTAAAGCTCCGGAGGATTAGATGGATGATTCCTTAGCCTTAGAGCCTTATCTGCGTAGGTGTCACAATTTTACACTAGTGCGATCAGGATGTTTAGTGAAATAAACCCTAAGCCTTGGAGCTAGGAGAGGTATCTTCGTATGTGCCACAATTGTTCACTAATGATCCAGATGTTTGGAGGGACGAACCCAGAGCCTTGGAGCTGGGAGAGTGTTATCTTCGTGTGTGGCACAATCTTTCACTTGTTTGGAGAAACGAACCCTGCGCCTTTGAGCCCTCGTTAGAACCTTGCGTATATGTGCCACAATTGTTCACTAAAGATCAGAATGTGTGGAGGAACGAACCCCGAGCCTTGACGCTAGGAAAATGTTATCTTCGTATGTGCCACAATTTTTCACTAATGATCCAGATGTTTGGAGGAACGAATCCTGAGCCTTGAAGCCTTGAGAGTGCCACAATTTTCCACTAATGATCCAGATGTTTGGAGGAACGAACCCTGGGACTAGAAGCTAGGAAAATGTTATCTTCGTAGGTGCCACAATTTATCACTAATGATCCAGATGTTTGGAGGAACGAACCCTGAGCCTTAAAGCCTTGAGAGTGCCACAATTTTTCACTAATGATCCAGATGTTTGGAGGAAGGAATCCTTAGCCTTAGAAAATAATTGAGAGCGTTTATCTGTGTATGTGGCACAGATAAAATAATACTAAGAATTCTAGCTACACTTAAACGATACTAGACTGTGACTTGTGGTTTGGAAAACACGTGATAATCAGGGTGATACTACTTCACAAAGGAATTATTGATATGTCAAGGATATGTTGTGGTGTTGGATATGGACGCGAGTGAACTGGTACTGCTGGGTTTCTGCTATCGGCGATGAGCATCTGAATAATAATAATTATTATTGTTTGTTCACGGATAACAGTGGCGGCGCTTGCATTATTACTGCAGGCGTTGTGATAACAGCGTGTAGCCAAATCAGTCGCGGAATATTCCAAAGGAAGTATAGTCCCAAGAACATACAGTGCTTTCATGAAGTACTGAATAAATTGATTTTTTTCCAAGTAACCTCCTCAGACAGGTCGATTTTAATATAGAACTTGCCAAATTCATGAGGAAAAATTGAATATATATACAGGGTGATCCACGTTTGAGTAATGACGTTCGCAACCATTTTTTCAAATGGAACACCCTGTATAATATTGAATTTTCCGTTAAATTATGTGATCTTTTGAAGAAGTTTATGAATTTTTTTTAGTCAAACTATCCATTTCTGCAAAATCTCCTGGGATAGGTTGATTTTCATTTTCAATTCGCAATATTTGGAAAGAAAAATTGAATATAGAGGGTGATCCCCGTTTGTTTAATGACGCCAACCAAATATTTTTCACATGGAACACCCTATATATTTTCCAATTCTTGGGATATCCATGAGAAAATGGATTCAAAAATATATTAGACAGATAGTTAGTATACAGTGCGTCCGATAAATGTTGTGCCCTCGTAAAGTATAGCGGATGAATTCGGTGAAAATTGATTAAATAATTCTTGTAAGGGACGCTCGAAGCCGTAATTCGCATGGAGAATCCAAAAATTGAATAATATATATAGGGTGATTCAATTGAAAAAAGTATCGCGGACGTATTAACTCAAACATGGATCACCCTGTATATATTTGATTTTTCTTCATAAATGTGGCAATTCGAAAATAAAAATCGACCTGCCTCAAGAGGTTATGAGGTACCTTACGAAAGCACTGTATAATCTCCAGTTAGTTAAAAAAAATCCAATACCTATCCTTACGATGTTCTTCGAACATTATAGGGATTCCCTTTCGTGCGCTCCAAGAGATGAAAAAAAAACACTACAAACCGCAAGATTTGATCTACCCTACGGAATCATTGAATTTACCCCTGTACACCAAAAGTTTAAGATCAATTTGCATACAGTGTGCTCTCGATGTGCTGAACAAGAATCTTGAAGTCAGTTCCATTGAATCTTAATTGCTTCTTGAAATATTCGCATTCGCTGTTTTGTTGGCTAAATATGAGAAAGCTTATTAGTTTCGAACGAAAATTCAGTAAACCTTATAATAATATAATATATATTTTATAATAAAGGTACCACAAGGAAGAAAAGTGGGTCAAAAAATGTTTTTCTATTGAAGCTAGAGAGCTGTACTTCTACTCCGCACTAGGGCATCCCTGAAAGGTCCTAAATACCTAATTCATCAAGAAAAAAGCTTTTCAAAAATGCAAAAATCTAATATGGCGCCCGTAAGAAAAAACAAAGTTGTGTGTTGTAACTTCGGCATCAAGGACGTCATGGAGAATACGATAACAGATTCAGATTCCTTGTAAAAAGGTGCCCTGAGAATGTCCTAGTCAGAAAAGTCTAGGTCTTTTGGTTTTCGCTTGAAAAAATAGAAACGACAATTACAAATTTTCGTTTTCTTCAAATAATTCAAAAACTGAAAATGAAAACTTTTCCCTAATTTAACCGACCTCGTATCTCTTATAATAACTGAGATCTCTATTGTGAAGCTAGAAAAACGACCACCGAGTATACAAGAAGTCTGGATTTAGAGAGAACATTCTGAATTCAGCGAAAAAAGTTTGAATTCAGAATAAAAACAGTTTGAATTCTGAAGAATAGAAGCTCGGAGTTGTTGTTTTATTAGAAACAAAAAGTAGTCAGCGAAGAATCTATGCGATATGAATAAGGAAAGAACAGCAGGTGCTATATGACCTTGAAATATATTTTTGCGAGATTGATTTAGCGAAAATGCAAAGAAAACTTTGATGAAATCCGGCTCGAAGGACCAAATGTCAAGGTATTGAGAAAAAATATGGAAAAATTCGGCAGTTGATGAGCACTTACCTGAATTTCTGCGAGATGCATTTAGCGATTTGTTCACAGGTAGCACCGCAGAGCCCACGTGTCTTTTTCGTATGTGTGATCCCCCGAATAATTGTTATTCGAGTTCGGAGAAAAAAATAGAGAACACACAACAGTGGCCTTTCTACCCTTTCCTAGGAGAACCTTTAATAATTAATGTGAAATAAAACTCATTTAGTAACCTTCAATTTCTATTGCGATTCTAAAACTCCGTCGTTTTGAGTACATCATATTTCCCCAGAAAATCAGCCAACAACGGCCCGTTATGCCCAATTTTACTCTCAGCTTCTCTGAAAACCCTGGAAGTCAGTTCGTTCACATCGAACTTCGAATTAACACTTTCAAAAGCCTTGTGATGCTCGAAATAACACCTGATGAGACCAATCCAAACATCTGAGTCTTCGCCACCGAACTGATCACAAGCCAGCCTCAAGACTTTTTCTAATTCTTGTGCATTCACGTCCAGTTCTTGTGATTCCAAGTTGGCCATGATCGTGTGGAGTTCCTTGCAAAATGGTGGGGTTCTGGCTAGATCGTTGTATTTCCTTCTTGCTTCTGTAATTCCTACGAAATAGTTATTTATTATACAAGGGGAAAAAGTAGTAGATTTTAGCCCCAGACAAAAAACCGTGAGCTGAGATCTAATATTTTTCCCGTGTATAATACACTATTTTTTTCTCTGACAGAAAAAAGGACAAATCAATATTGAGAAGATATTACATTATATTGAAATCAGAAAATTATCGAAGTGAAATTTGAAATTTTCAACAGGAATATATATAGTTATTTATTATACAAGGGAAAAAAGCAGTAGATTTTAGCTCCAGGTTGTGTTGTCTCCCGACGCGTAGCGTAGCGGAGATAAAAGGACTTGCAGTTCTTTCTCGGAGACGGTATTATTGACTCATTTTTCAGAACTATAGCACAACAAAAGCCATCAACATTGTATATACAGTGTGTCCCACTTACCATGCTCACCATGGGTATCTTTTTAACGGTGAGAGATACGAGGTCGGTTAAATGACACCAAATGTGGAGTTTGTCAAGGCCAACTATAATGTGAAAAAATATTTCGATAAAATCTATTCGTTTTTGTTTTATACGCAAAAAACAGATTTTGGTCATTTTCATGTCTCCTCCGTAACTTCTTTATTTATGAAAATATTCAAATAGGAATTTCACATTCTCATGGCAGTTTTTCAAAATGATTTCGAAAAAAATATGAAATTTATACCAACTCTTCTAATATTTGAGATATCAGCACCAACTTCAGTTTTTCAAAGGTAGGTCATAGCTCACTATGACTTAGTTACAAATAACTTTTTTTTCTCTCACAGATGATGTGTCGCAGTAATAGTTTTGTGTTGATAACAACGGAGTTATCGTCATTTATACAAAAAAAAAATTATTTGGAAGCCGCCATCTTGAATTTATAAATTATAACAAAAAAATCATGATCTCCGACCTCGAAAACCCCCACTCACCAATTTTGAATGGAATCGGACCAAATCTTGTCCGCCATCTTGGAGCAGCCATTTTTTTTAATTTCAACAAAAATTCCATAATGAATTGTCACCGAAATTATGAACACCTGCCAAATTTCAAGTTAATCGGAGTTATGGAATTTTCGCTGAAATTACAAAAAAATGGCTGCTCCAAGATGGCGGACAAGATTTGGTCCGATTAAATTCAAAATTGGTAAGTGGGGGTTTTTGAGGCCGGAGATCATGATTTTCTTGTTGAATTCAAGATGACGGCATCCAAATCATTTTTTGTTTTTCTATAAATGACGATAACTCCGTTGTTATCAACACAAAACTATTACTGCAACATATCATCTGTAAGAGAAAAAAAGTTATTTGTAACTAAGTCATAGTGAGCTTTGGCATACATTTGAAAAAATAAAGTTGGTGCTGATATCTGAAATTCTAGAAGAGTTGGTATAAATTTCAAATTTTTTTTCGAAATCACTTTGAAAAACTGCCATGAGAATGTGAAATTCCTATTCGAATATTTTCATAAATAAAGAAGTTACGGAGGAGACATCAAAATGATCAAAATCTGTTTTTTGCGAATAAAACAAAAACGAATAGATTTTATCAAAATATTTTTTCACGTTATAGTTGGCCTTGACAAACTCCACATTTGGTGTCATTTAACCGACCTCGTATCTCTCACCGTTAAAAAGATACCCATGGTGAGCATGGTAAGTGGGACACACTGTATATGTGATATATATCCGGGAAAAAAGTACTCACTTTTTTCCCACGGGAAGAAAGTAATTTATGAAAAGTGACATTTTATAACCTGCCAACAGAGATGGAATGCCAAACTTTTTTCCCGTCACAGAAAAAAGTAATTTACGTAACCGCAAAGTCGAATGGAAGATAAAAGGACTTGCAGTTCTTTCTCGGTACTCACTTTTTCCCGTAGCAATTTTCGTTTTTTCTATGTCATAATTTCCATTTGAATCTATTCTTCTTGACAAAATGACTTTATTTCTGCACAAACAATTTCGAACCGATAGTTTATAGATAATATTCAAAAACTATCGGTTGTTTCGATAGTACAAAACTATCGATACTATCGATCTTGTTCCACCAGTATAAAGCACTCACCTTTATTCAATACCAACCACTGGATGTACTCGCACTTCATTTTCCTTCCTACTTCTTCAGCCTGCTGGACCCCGCTCATGAAAATGTTCTCGATGACAGCAGAAGAAGAGGTCAGTATGTGGTACCTCAGCGCCATCATCCACAAGGGGGTGGATTTGTTTTGGAGTTGCATCACGCCCTTCTTGAAGGTTTGATTGAAATTTTTCACGTTGTCTTTGATGACGGCGTATTTCAGCTTTAGTTTCCACAGTTCCACCGATTTGGGAATCGCCTTCAAACCTATATACAAGTGTGTTTCGAGGAAAAATAGGTTTCTGAGCACCCTGTATACTTGAAAGTGGGACACCTCCTGAGATTTTCATTTCAATGTTTTTTTGGGGGGAGTACAAATATTTCAAATGAAAAGTTGGAACCAGTTCCAGAATGTCGTTAAATAAAACGACATGAATTTTCATTATGGTGGGAGAATCTTGCCAACAAAACGCACCTAAAATTACAAAAGTCGTCCGCCATATTGGTTCCGCCAACTTGAATTTCTAAATTTTAATGAAATAATCATAATCTCCGGCCATGAAAACCCCTAAATACCGAATTTCAATAGAATAGGATCTTAATTACAAAACTTGTCCGCCAGATTGGATCCACCATCTTGAATATCCTAATTTTCACGAAAGAATCATCATCTCTACAATTTACCAATTTTGAATAGAATTGGATCATAATAAATACAAAATACTGCATGGGAGATACCCTTCAGATTTTTTGCTATTTGCAAAATCCAATGTTTTTCTTCACCCAAATATCCTCACTTCGAATATACCAACCAGATACATCCAAGGACACCATTCTGCTGCAGTTTTTATGGGTATAAGTAAAGCTTTTGATAGTATATGGCACAAGCTAAGCTCCTTCATAAACTCTTCATTCTCAATTGCCCAACATCATTTGGATAATAAAAGACTATCTTGAAAATAGACAGAACATAATTAAAATCCAGTATTCTCAGACCCGTTTAGTATATCACAGGGAGTACCACAGGGTTCACCTGTAGCTCCCTTCCTGTATAATATTTTCTGCCATGAAATCAGTAATGCACTACCAAATAATGAGGATGCTTATCTTCTACAATTCGGCGATGATACCACCCTGATAGCACATGACAACAATATACAGAGAATGATGGAACAATTACAAGATATGGTTAGCAAGTTGTCAGAATGGTTCTGCGAATGGAGACTAACACCCAACCCAAGATAATGCAAATTGATTATATTCAACCAGAAAATTGTGATCAATTCACCAACCATCAACATCCAATGAAACCATAAACCCTATTCCAGAAACACCTTCAATCAACAAAGAAGAAAGTAATCGCCAGAGCTAAACATTTTCACAGCTACCTTGATTTACAAGACCATATGCCGACCCGTCATCGAATAACGGATTCATTTTATTCAGCACCTGTAAGAATTCGATCCGCTGGTCTGATCTCTGATTTCTCTTCAAATTCGTGTTCACCGTACCCCATTCACCCTAGGTACGAAGTTTAAGCCTCCTAGCTCGATTTTTAATTTTTAGTGGGGTTATGTTTCATGTCATATGGAAAAACTGGGATATCTCAGCAACGGGAAAAGTCAGAGCTATCGTGTAATACATAGAATTGAGGGTCTCGACGAGATCTATCGATTGCCAACGACAAAATATGGAAATTCATGAATCTCAGTTATCTCAAGAGATTTGAACGATTGGAAAAGATATTCGTCATCAGCATCAGCTCGACTTTTAATTTTCAGTGAGGTTATGTTTCATGTCTTATGGATAAAACTGGAATATCTCAGCAACGGAGGAAGTTAAGACCTATCGTGTTACATATCGAATTGAAGGTCTCGACGATTGGAACAGATTGTCGTCATCGGCGACCTCGATTTACTCAGAAAAAATCAGATAGAGAAATATTTTATATGATTTCTGTGAAATGTGCGGTTTCTACAAAATTGGGATATTTAGTACTCAATAAACAAATGAATGGTGAAGGTATTATACCTCCCAAAATTCAAAAGTCCGAGAAAAGAAATATGTACGTTTTGTGGTCATTTCTTCTTGCATTGAAATAGCTTTCAAATACTGTACAATTAGTTCCAACCTTGAGAGGGTTATTGCTTCTGATACATTTCAATTTTCTCTAGTTTCTTCGGAAACAGAGGGCTTTCAAATGAAAAACATTTCATTCACCCTGTATATAGGGTATTGCATTTTTGGAATAGGTAACGCACTAATCTAGCCGGAATATTTTTCAACATGAATTGTTGGAGAATAGCCCATTTCGGACTCCAATGGCGTATATCGGGTATCAATAAAATCCGTACATTCAAAAGTATATAACCGACAAACGAGTCCGGAGACCTATGCTAATATTGATGACAATATCTCGGACTCCTCAAATCGTACATTATATCAAAAATTCAAGAGAATTAACCGATTCTTTTTCGAAATACAGGGTATTCATTGAAAAAAAACCGCATTTTTTCATGAAACTTGGACTGTATCTTTTTACTCACCCTATATATATATGAAATGAGTATGCGACGTTCTCAACATTGAAGAATGTCTGATATATATATGACATGCTCTCCCCTTTCCGATTCAAAAAACTAGGGATTGACGTACTCCTATTTTCGAACTACCCTATTTTTAAAAAAAATCAGTAAACTACGATCGAGATTGAGGAAGTTGGTTCAGGCTTCAATCTTTAATCTTTAATTCTCATGAAAGAACTTACCCTGGTTGGTTAAAAATTAATCGAATTAGATTTTCTTTTTTCACCCTGTTGTAGAGCCCAAAACGTAAAATTATAATGGATACGAGATCCAGATGACATTGTATCGTCATTCAGGCATGTTGTTCCATGAATAAATGGGCGTTTTGTCAATTCTCGGAGTTGTTAAAAATTCTGAGCAGAAAGCTTCACTTTCCATCTTTGACGCCCTGAATCTCGAAAACTAGTCACTCGATTTCTTTATGCTCATGGACACTTTTGCTTAGGGAATCAAAATCTACATCATACCAAAAATTCAGGGAATTTAACCGAAAGCCATTTTCCATTAGGAAAGTGCGGGGTCCTATTCAGGTGTCCCGCTTTCAAGTGGGCCACACTGTATGTATGTCATCTCACCTTTCTCTGTAACATCCAGAATGTCAGTTTCCTCCTTCAGCAGCTTAACCCACACCACAAAATATCTCTCGGTGAGCATTTGACAGTCATTGGCGTCTCTTAGAGCATTGAGCAGAGTATTTCTGATCATGTCGCTGTTGTCGTTGTGGAGTTGCAAGTCCACCAAAAACTCCAAGTACAAACTCCAGAGTTCCCGATGCTGATCAGGGCAACTCTTGGTCATCACAAATCCCTCTTGGTACTTTTTGAAGCATCGATCCAATCGGAATTTCGTATTGGAAGTGTGCATTGATCCAGGAACTTCATCGTAGTGGTCACCTTGAAGTTTATATGATTTTTCAATAGCGAATTCACGCTACAAGCCACTCAAAAAAATGTGTACGCTCAAGTCACGATTCTTATTTTTTGTACGTGGTTAAATTGCTTGGGGTACATCTAGAGCAGGTCTGAATTTTTCGCTTCACATTGATCAATTATGTAAGCCTCTAGCAACATCAACCTATATATTGAGACAGCTGAAGGGTTAACTGGCTGATGAATATCTCAGAGTTTCTTATATATTTCTCAATATTTCATGCAGTAATGACATATGCCTTGATAGTGTGTGGTCGTTACCACCGATACAACAAGGCCAGCAGACTCTGACGTAAACAGCTCGTGAAGTCACCAAGAGAGGCCAGTGTTTTATTTTATCGCTTGTCGACTAACGCGTCAGTTCGTGTTAATTCATCGGTGATTCACGTATGTTTTTGAAACGGTCCCGAATTCTTTTGTTGTTTGTTCATCAAAATAATTGGCGGAAAAATTACTGTTTTGTGAAATATTTTGTGTTGTGATCGGCGAAATAACAATGCCTTTCAAGTGTTGTGTTCCCTTTTGTCGGGGGAATTATGTGGGTGGTTCAAAAGTTCATGCTTTGTTTCCCGTTGGACGAGGAGCTATCGAAAATGTGGGTATATGCAATTCACCGCGAGGATTTTACTCCATCTAAGTTCAGTAGTAAACAGAGCTTAATTTATAATGATGAATTAATAATAGAAGACAATTACTCTCTCATAAAAAGTATAAGTAGAGGAAAAATAGAAAAGCTTTGATTGTGCAGTTAGTTTTGTATTCGTATATTATAGTCAACAAAATCATCTCTGAATTCGAGGAAATTTTCTTGAATGTTCATAATAAACGGGCATTTTTAATTCTCATTCTCAAATTTCTTTCTGAAAACGGTCATTTGCCTCGTGGCAATGAATGCAGAATTCATTCCAATGATCAAATTGCAACTATCATATTAACATGAACTACAAACACTCTTCTTAAAAAGGTAAAACTGCATTTATCATGATATTTATCATGAAGATATTTGACTAAAAAGTTCCAAATTTCACCTTTTTTTTTCACCTGTCTTCTGGATGGCATTTAGAACAAATTTCCCTTCTTTTTTCATCATATTGGACAATTTATATATAATATAATTCAACTATAAATATGATTTTCTTGAGATTAATCCATATTTAGTGAAAAGAAGGAAGAATACCATTCAAAATAATGGCGTGTGTAATGTCATTCGAAAGCAATCTATTGACATTTGACATCTCGTATTTTGATTGACAATAAATAGTGGTTTGTTCACATTTTCATTATAAAATTCGGTTTATCAGACAAAAATACGTGAGTACCGAAAAAAATTTTCAAAATAAAAACCATCGCATGATAAATGCAGTTTTACCCTTAAAAATTACGGTTTCAAGTGTAACAATCCACTTGGGTGAAAAATCCAACAACAGAAAATTGAAAACACTCACTGGTTATTTTTTCAGGTAATAGGAATTCTCCAAGATAAATATAGGTAATTTTAACAAACGGCATGTCAATCAAAATAAAATACATTTTCCACAATTTTCTTTCGATCAATCTCACGATAAGTTTATGTTCTGCGGGCCCTGTATAAGTAAGTGTGAAGTTTACCTTCACCACAATTTTTGCCAATATATTCGTTTCGAATGGGTTGCTGTAAGTGGATATTTGTGTTTTATCCTGTTTTTTGCTTTAAAACTTCGTTTTTCCATAATAAAATCGAATGGGGTGCGAAGAAGGGCTCAGTTGACGACTAGCATCCTTTTTTAACCGGAAGCCCTTCAAAAAACAGCAAAATCGGCTCAATGATGATCTAAAACTAAAATCGAAATACGCGGTCGCCTTATAGCGCTATAAGCGCTTCTCGTTTCGAGCCGCTGGTTAGGCCTCACTAAGTGACGTCACCCACGGAGCATGCAGGCCTTGTTGTATCGGTGGTAACGGTGTGGTGCATCAACTCATTCTACATAAATTTTCATTTTACCAAGAAAAAGTTCCAAGGATTATGGCAGGAGTAAGTTATACAGAACATTGCAAACCATTATTCAAACAATTCAAAATTTTAACACTAGCCTCATGCTTCGTATACGACTGTCTAATTCACATGAAGAAAGAAATGTCTGATATGATACTAGATCTGGAATAACTAGAAATGAAGATTTGCATATAGATATAATACAAGAGGAAAGATGAATATTAGATTACTGAAACCAAGAATTTCAAGAACAAATCTTCATTTAAATATTGTCATGTAGTAGATCCTAATCAAATTTTAATCCATCCGAAACATAATGATTTTCAATAAAAAACATTCATTTCAAATCCAATGTATTGCATGACATTCATACCTACACAGGAATTGAAGTTTCATTGATTCTAAAACCGCTGACGTATAGAAATTAATATACAATCAGAGAGGGAAATATTGGTTGGAGTAGTTTGATTATGAAAACAAAAAAACAGTCTACGTCGGGCGTAGGGAAAGAAATGTTCCCTGTGCCCATTGAAGATGGATCTTCTAATATTCAAATTATAAGTACCGTTGACCACCTTATTCAATAAACATGTTTCTTTTACATTTTTGAATACTCTTTTTATTTCTTTATGTTCCACAATTGAACGACAACCCTCTCAAAGTCAAGCGAGTAGATAAATTAGGTCTATGGAGTTAGTACCCTCAAGGGGTAGGCATATTCTGAAAAGGTCGTCGTAGATACCTATACGACAATATCTCTCATGAAATTTTTTTCCCACGGGAAAAAAGTAATTCATGAAAAGTGACATTTTATAACCTGCCAACAAAGATGATATGCCAAACTTTTTTTCCCGTCACAGAAAAAACACTATTGCTCATAAATTTTGATTCATATTCCCTGGAACAAATCGGAGTGGCTAAAGTTACTTGATTATCTCTGAAAATGTCTTAATTCTAATCCCTATATCTCCTCAGTTTGGGAGCTAGGGGAGAGGAGAGAAAATAATACTTGATCCGATTTTTTTTCTACCTTCAACTTACCATTTCTTTCTCTTTGTGCCAAGGCATGCCACACATCCGCCTCCTCAGGATACCGTTCCATCAAGTTCTTCACAATTTTATCCTGGACGCTCTTCGTGAACCCGTACGGGTTCAACAGCTCTAAAATCTTGATCAGAAACTGATGCGACCTGATGTTCTTCATTATGGAATCCACATAAGTCTGTATTTTCTGGCAGCACAGCTGATCCTTGTTCTGAGACCCGTCCGTCCAGTCGTCTTTCCCGCGGTTCATCAGCTCCAGCTGGATCGCTTCTGAGAACAGCGTTTCTGAGGTCTGATGGATGGTGAGACCTTTGAGGATCACGCTGAGGGCCTGGTTCACGTCCTTTTTGACGTGCCAGGCAGCCGCAACTTTCCACATTTCCGGGATATGAGCGAAATGCTGGAAAACACGTCAGGACCAAAGTTGCAATGATCATGACATTTCAAGAACAAACGACCTACTTGAAATATGACATACTAGCAGACCACGCAAACGTTGTTTTGCTATATACATTATTTCTATAATACTATAATATATTTTTTCAGTTCCATATTCATCAAGACACTATTATTATTTTATTTTCTACTGCTTTTTAGTTTTGCTATCTATAAAAATGTGTTTCTTTAGTTTTTCAAACTACCATTTATTTCAACTCCTTTTCGTTCAATACTGGTACTTATCCGCAATTTCTTAACACTTCTGTCATTATACCCATTCACGAAGCCATTCACAAAGGAGGAAACAAAGACGAACCATCAAACTATCGCCCCATTGCGCTTATTCCGACACTCGCTAAGATTATAGAGAAAATAGTAAAAATAAGAATTATTAAATTTCTGGATTCCAATAATATATTGGCATCAGAACAATTCGGATTTCAACATGGGAAAAGCACAAATGATGCCCTTTTCTCCTTCATGTACAAGGTTTATGAAAACATCAATAGTGGTGAGGTTGCCGCTGCAGTGTTTTGTGACTTTTCAAAAGCCTTTGATTGTGTTAATCATGGAATACTGCTTCGGAAGCTTCATTACTATGGGTTTAGTGATTCAAGCTTGCAATGGATGAACTCATACTTGAATAATAGAAAACAACTGGTACGTATCAATAATGTCACCTCGGATACCTCAAATATTCATCATGGAGTACCTCAAGGTTCGGTTCTTGGGCCGTTGCTGTTCTTGCTATATATCAATGATATGACTAAATTGAATATATCCGGGAAAATAACTCTCTTCGCTGATGACACTACCATATTATGGAGTGATAGATCTGTGGAGACCCTACAGATTAAAATAACCAAAGACGTCGAAATTATCCATCAATGGAGCAAATCGAACCTACTTTCTTTCAATATTCAGAAAACGAACCTGATAACATTCCGATGTGAGTTGCCTCTTTTATCTCTGGATCATCAAATTATAGAAAATAAATTGAACGCAAAGTTTCTCGGTCTTTTTGTGGACAAAAAACTGAAATTTGATCTGCATGTTTCACACTTATGCAATAAACTTGCATCAGGATGCTATGCTATCAGATTGATATCAAACGAGTTGGGTTATTCTGCTGCTATGACGGCATATTACGCTCTAATAGAATCCCATTTGAGGTACGGAATTGCATTTTGGGGAACTTGTAACAACCATAATTTACAGTCTACATTCATCTTACAAAAAAGGGCATTAAGATATGTATGCAAAGTTAGTTCAAGAACCTCTTGTAAAGAATTATTCAGAGAGCACAGAGTGTCAACAGTAGTATCCTTGTTTATTATAGAGTCGGTGTGTTTGATTCACAAAACCAGAGACAATTACGAAGTCGTGAACTCATGTTACAACACACGCCAGTCAGAGATGGTGAAGATTCCCCGGCCCTGCAGTTCACTAATAAAAGATTCCATATTATATAATGGCCTGAAAATGTACAATCACCTCCCAACTATTGTTAAATCTATCTCGGATATAAAAAAATTCAGGAAGGAATTGAAAAAACTTGTTAGTCCCTTATGTGTTTTATAATGTTAATGATTTTTATGAACAAGTATTTTAGACGAAGCCTTATGTGTGCACATGTTTGTGAAAAATTGTATTTATGTTGATAATTGTTGTATACATTATTTTATTATTTTATTTTTATAACCTATTCAGCTTTGTCTACAAGGATTACATTCTTAAGTGACAATAAAGCATATTTTGATTTGATTTGATTTTTAGTTCACTTGAATTTTGACGAAAGAATCATAATATCCGACTACTAAAACCCCAGATGAAAATTTTGAATGGAATCGGAACATTTTTTTTTTATTATTGGTAAATCAATTATAATGAGTTACAAAATATACATATCATTGGGTGCACAATGGATTTGATGATCTGTGTGTGCATCCTACAACTTTATATATACCTATCTATTCAACATATACATACTAATTTGCTAAAGAGGTTAACAGAGAAAAACTATGAATACCTACATTTCAGCTTCATAAATCATCTAATGTCAGTTCACTTTCGATTATCCATTTATTTATTTGTGATTTCACTAGTTTGTCTCTCTCTCTATTATATTTTCACATTTACAAGAAGTAGTGTTGATTTTACATTTATGATCATGGATTTTTAAGGAGCGGAGTCCTGGCAAAGTTTTCTGGGTTAGGCCAAAAGCTATGAATTTGGTCTTATCAACATTCAATGTTAATAAGCTATATAATCTAGCCACCTTTTTATTTTAGTGATTGCCACTTCGGCTTTTTGAACGGTAGATTCCCAGGTATCGCCAACTACTATTATGACAGTATCATCAGCAAAGCAATATACTTTTCCTTCTTCTATGACATACGTTATATCGTTAATGTAGATATTGAAAAGCAGTGGCCCCAGCACAGTACCTTGTGGCACACCACATGTCATTTCCAGTGGATCGCCTATTGCATCCCCTATTTCAACTTGTTGGGTTCTACCACTCAAATAAGACCCAATTAGTTCATTTGCAATTCCTCGTATTCCTATATTATGCAATCTCTCTAACAATTTTGACGATGGAATCATAATTTTTGATCCCGAAAACGCCCACTTACAAATTTTGAATAGAATCAGTATATAATTACAAAACTCGTCCGGTATATTGGTTCCACCGAAAACTCCGAAAACACCCAGAAAACAATTTTGAAGAGAGTCGGATTATAATTAGCCATATTGGGTCCGCCATCTTGAATTCACTAATTTTGACGAAAGAATCATAATCTCAGAACTACAAGATACCAAATATGAATAAAATCGGATCCTAATTACAAAATCCTCCATTTTGGATCCGCGATCTCGAATTTCCTAATTTTGACGAAGGAATCATAACCCCCCATCACGAAAACCCCCAGGTACCAATTTTGAAAAGAATCGGATTATAATTACAAAACTCGTCCGCCATATTGGTTCCGCCATCTTGAATTTCCAAATTCCGCCAGAATTTTCAAATTCTGACGGAAGAATCATAATCTCCGACCCCGAAAAACCCCCAGATACCAATTTTGAATAGAATCGGACCATAATTACAAAACTCGTCCGATATACAGGGTGGGCCACCAGTAACGCCTCGGTCTCTAGAAGGCTAACCACTCATCTTCTTGGAATTCTTCCTCTCTAGGAAGTTGCATGTCAACATAGGCTACCATTTGAAATTATTTTGAAACATACAGGATGTCCCCAAAAATCACAAAACACTGAAGTTGAACACCCTATATATTATTTCATTTTGAGATTCTCCCTGATGAGCTGATTTCAACAATCCATCATACTTGGGGTCTAGCAGTTATAATTACTGAGATATAGGGTGTGAGAAATCGAGATTTTTCAAGTTCAAGATTTTTTTGTGTCTGAACCATTCATAATTGATCAAAACGGCTCACATGTCCCTATCTCAACTTCTACTGACATTTAATTGAAACAAATACAGGGTGGTGCAGAATTCAGAATCTTGATCACCCGGTATATGTCACAGAAAAAAGTGTATTATACATGGGACGAATATTAGATTTCAGCTCAGGGTTAAGCAGAGGGAGACAACACAACCTAGAGCAAAAATCTACTACTTTTTTCCCTTGTATAATAAATAACTTGATAATAGGTATGCGAGATGTTCTTGAAACATTATGCTCAAGAGATAAAAAAACTTTGATTTAGGTAAATCACCATTGAAATTGAAAAAATCAGTTTATTTAAATTTGACAAGCAAGGGTCTAGAAGTTTAGAAATAATAACCGTTTTTTCTGACTCGAGATCATCAGAATTTTTTCTATCCAATTTGATCATTCAGTGATGTGCTATGTTTGATGATTAATAAAATATTGATACTTGAGAAAATTGTAATTCTTCCCAGTCCATTGTTAAATGTTGAATATTATGTACTATTTCAAGGGATCTTCACCAATGTCCCCCATTTTCTTTAAAATATACAATTACCAGCAAAAAATCTGACCACTCTGAAATATTTCATCAAGTTCTCTGATGCAGTGAATTTAAAAACTTAATAAATAGTATAACAGTCAAAATTTTTAATAATTGTTTCCACACTTCAGGGGATTTGAGTGAATTTTTGGAAAACACATCAGGTCACCTACTATACAGGGTGTTTCGAAATTCAACCAACAATAAAGCCCCTGAGCTTATAGCCCCCATCTCAATTTTAGGGATAGGGGGTATTGAAGTTCTGTTTTTTTCTGGATAATTCAAGATCAGCTGAATTTTTTCTATCCACATTTGTTCGTTCACTCAGGGACATAATATAATTGTTCTACCATAATTTCATTCAGAAATGACCAGAATTTATGGCCTCTAATATGTTTTTGATATATTCATATGAAGAATTGTAATTTTATCCAGTTTATTGTGAAAAGCTGAAACATACCATAAATCTGAGTCTGAAAGATTTCCCATATTCTCCAGAATGCTCTGTACTTACCCAAGAATCTCAAGATAATTACCTAGAATTAGTTATCTGAGAATACAGTATACAAACCTTGATCATGTTCTGGATCACTAAGGAAGCAGCTTGGTTGTAATTTGATTCTTTACAAAACTTGAAGTACATTAAACATAAATTGAAGTCATTGGAGAATCTTTGAGTGGCAATTTCATATAGATATTTTATTCTCTTTAGTATTTTGAACTCTATGCTGCTCTTTCTGTCAGCTATTCTGAGTTTATTGCGACGAAGTTTAATGTCTTTTAGTATGACTTTTTCATATTGGATGTAGTCCTTGAAATCCTGTATGTTTTTCATTGCTCCATTAATTTTGCATTCAAAGTGTTTCCTTTTCTTCATGATAAGTCTAAAAATAGGTTGAGTAATGATTGTAATGCACAAATACTAGGACCTTATTAAAAAGTTGTTTTTTGATGGGGGCATACCTTGTTTCTTCAATTGAAAATAATTTAGTTCTTCGCATTTCATTTATTTCCTCCGTCATGGATTCCATATGGCGTTCTATTAGCTCTCCCATTTTGCCGTATTTTTGGAAATAACTTCACAGGAGGAATTATTTATTGAAAATTGAATACTGGTTAACTACTATCCCAATGTTATTGTTGGGAAAAATTGGGTTGGGATTTCCTTTATTTTACAAACGTCAAACGTCTCTTGCCAGTTGCCACTTGCCTCTTGCCAGTCATCCAATAAGTAGCTTGCTGCCGTGCTGCGGAAAATCTGAAGGTTATCAGAAGGTTATAAATAAGGTAATATGGAAAATAATAGAGAGTTGAAGTGTTGCCACGAACGTTAACGTTAACGTAGAAATTGACAGCTACGCATGCGCATTTTTCAATTCTTCACGTTCGCGTTGGTAGTGGGCTTACGGGTGTACGTTATCTCACGTACTTTCACGTATACCTTAAATATCAACGTACGTTAACCGCAAACCGAACCAAACTCGAAATATGCCGATGAGTCAAAATCATCAAATTCGGGATCCTTAAGGAGTTCTGCATCAGGGCAACTTTCCATTTTAACACGAATAAATGTTTTGATCTAAACAAACAACCAAAACTGACAAATACAAACCAATAACATAATTTGCTATAACGTTAAATGACAGTGACGACTTCAACTCAATTTGAAGACAATACGTAAACGTTATTTTTCGTACTTCAACGTTTACGTGGAGGTCTACGTACAGTGATAACTTCAACTCTCTAATATCGTTTCTGCATGAAAGAGGAGACAACTTTCGACCTAAATGAACCTTTCCCCTGAAAAGTATATACTTGTGAAAAAAAATTGACCACGCAGGGAGTTGAACACGAGCCACCACAGACCACTCGGTGAGAGTCCCTTGATGGAAATTGACGTTGAAGTTATCTCAACAGGGTACGGACCATACGGACAGTATAGGCCTGTTCGTTTGTATTGTAGTTGTTTTCTGTTGAATATGCCGAGAAAGAATTAATAATTTCATCACATAGAGAATGCGAATTCTCAATGTATTTATTCAAATGTATCCATTTTTTCATGTTTATAATATATCTGAGAATATTCCTTTTCAATGTATTGCTAAACTTGATTTTTCTTATATAGTTGTCTCTGTTCATGGCATGATGTAGACAGAGAGTCATAGAAAAAACTCAAGAGGCCTGTTCGTTTGTGCTTGCTCAACCTGCTGAACTAGATTTTTTTCTATGACTTTCTCTGTTTACATCATGTCATGAACAGAGACAACTATGGGAAAAAAATGTCACATCAATGTCAGACTATCAAATCATAATATACCAAGTATAAAACATAACATATATAGTCACATAGTCACCATGAGTACACCATAAGTACACTCTGGTCAGTTCACTTTGTGAATCTTCTGTTCGGTTCGTATGGACTGGATGGTTTTCTCCGATTGAGTGGCAAGTATCAAATACTACTCTCTGATCTGCAACAGAACATCACATATCAATCGAAGTACATTCATATCAGAGAATAAATATCATTAGATGAATTACATGGATGTTGAATCTGAGACATACCTGAATAATATATTCAACTTCCGTAACTGGATTGCTACATATCCGCTTTCTTTCCGTATAGTATTTTTTCCAGTAGGCATCTTCCACATTTTCAATTACGTACGTGGGTTATAGACCTTAGAGGCCGAACGATGTGCTGCTCGGATCTGAAACTAAGGATCAATTTCAAATTTGAATCGTGAGACCTCTACATAGAATATTGGATATTGTTTTCAACATTCGTAACTGGAACGCGATATATTTTTGTAATTCATCAATTCATCAACTATCTCAATGAAGACGAGACAGGCAGATAAACAACAATTTTCTCTGCAATGAAGAACGCTGTATATACCTAACTCACTATGCGCCTACCTCCTTTGCAGAGAGGGTTTATAAACGCCGAGTTGATACTCTCCCCTCGTAAGGGTACCTGTCGTGTTTCCATAGAGACATAAAGCTGAATATCTGTCTATCTGTCTGCTTGAGAATCCGGTCGTTAATCTATGGGAAAGGTAATTAATATATCGCCTTCCGTACGAATATAATGATCTGAATTCTGTAAAGTATACTCTGGTCAGTTCTCTTTATGGATATTCTGTTCGGTCCGTATTTACTGGATGGTTTTCTCCGATAGAGTGGCAAGTATCAAACACTGCTTCTTGGATCTGCAACTGAACATCACATTTAAATCGAAGTACATTTACATCAGAAAATATCATTAGAGGAAATAAATAGATGTTGAATCTGAGATATACCTGAATAATATTTTCAACGTCCGTAACTAGATTGCTACATATCCGCTTTCTTTCCGTATAGTGTTTTTTCCAGTAGGCATCTTCCACATATGTTCAATTACGTGGGTTATATTAAGGACCTTGGAGGCCAAACAATGTCGTGCTGCTCAGATCTAAAACTAAGTATCAATTTCAAATTTGAATCGTGAGACCTACATAGATTATGAATCTATGAAAAGTCTGGATATTGTTTTCAATATTCATAACTGGAACGCGATATATTTTTGTAATTCATCAATTCATCAACTATCTCAATGAAGACGAGACAGGCAGATAAACAACAATTTTCTCTGCAATGAAGAACACTGTATATACCTAACCCACCATGCGCCTACCTCCTTTGCAGAGAGGTTTTATAAACGCCGAGTTGATACTCTCCCCTCGTAAGGGTATCTGTCGTGTTTCCATAGAGACATAAAGCTGAATATCTGTCTATCTGTCTGCTTGAGAATCTGGAAAGGTAATTAATATATCGCCTTCCGTACGAATATAATGATCTGAATTCTGTAGAGTATACTGTGGTCAGGTCTCTTTGCGGATCTTTTGTTCGGTTCGTCTTGACTGGGTGGTTTTCTCCGATTGAGTGGCAAGTATCAAACACTGCTTTTCGGATCTGCAACTAAACATCACATATTAATCGGAGTACATCTAAATCAGAAAATTGATATCATCCGATGAAGTACATGGATGTTGAATCTGAGACATACCTGAATGATATTTTCATCGTCCGTAACTGGATTGCTACATATCCGCTTTCTTTCCGAATAGTGGTTTTTTCCGGTAGGCATCTTCCCTCGTAGGGTTATATTAAGGACCTTGCATGCCAAACAATGTGCTGTTCGGATCTAAAACTAAGGATCAATTTCAAATATCAATCGTGAGACCAACATAAAATATAAATCTATGAAAAGTCTGGATATTGTTTTCAACATTCGTAACTGAAACGCGATTTGAGGACTGGTTATTTTTTTGTAATAAAATTAGATTTTTTGAATATCGAGTTCAATAAAAATTCTATTTTTCAAATTGGATGTGCATTGTTGAAAAAAGGAGTTTTTTGTTTTGTCTGAAGACGGATCTGGATTCTAAATTCGATTCATATTTAGATCTGATGAGAAATATGAGTTGAATATACCTACCAACTATAAATCGATTATACACAGTGGTTCAAAAGTTATGACCTGACAATAGATGAAGATTTTGCCAAAATCAAGATCACGTTCTGTATCACAGTTATTGAAGATGGTAAATTCTTAAAAGATACAGTTTCGAACAGGAAACACGAAAATCATGAGAAAGTATTCCTTGATCGGAGAAAATACAACAAATGGTACGAAACATACAGAGTATGTCACGACGAGTTTACACTATCTCTATATCGAGAATCAGTCGGGAGAAATCCATGAAAATATGCATGTGATCAGAATTCTGAATCTTGAACCACCCTGTATCTGTTTCGATAAGATATCAGTAAATAGTGAAACAAAAGTTGAGATAGGGACATGTGAGCCGTTTTGACCGATAATGAATATTTTCGACACAAAAAAATCCTAAAGTTGAAAAATATCGATTTTGAACACCCTATATCTCTGTGAACATTTTCAATAGACCCTAAGTATGATATATAGATAAAATCAGCTCTTCAGGTAGAATCTTAAAATGCGATGAAATACAGGGTGTTCCGTTCGAAATATCAATGTTGCTACTACTTCCTAGTAGAAGTGGCAACACTGCATTGTCGAACATATCTTAAATGAAAAGAGTGTATACCAAAATATAAACATGCACATTTTCTTGGGTTTCTCCCGACTGATTCTCGATTTAAAGATAGTGTGAGCTCGTCGTGATATACCCTGTATGAGAAAGATAAGGAAAAATTTAGAGAATTTCTCTGCACTTACCAGCGTGAAAAAAATTAGGCTTTGATGGAACAACACGATACACTAGAACAACAAACGATCCCGATATTATTATTATTATTGAATCGAATGAGGAATACAAAAACACTATATATACGAATCAATACGACCACTCAGTTTTTAGGGAACACTCAGTTTGGAACGATAAATAATTCCTTTCGCGTATTTTTCGATGTCGATCACAAAATTCGACCGTGCGTGATGACATCTAATATAAGACTGTTTCGATTTACCACCTGGTCCCGAATGAATGACTAATGAGATGAATCATGCTGTTAACCGATTAATTTTCGAACGAATGATTTATCTATAACTAATGATGATAATGGAATTATACCGGGGGAATTCTGTGACCAATGATGATAATGGAATTATACGGGTGGGGGGGGGGAAAGATATATAGTATACATGAGAACTCGAAAATATCTAAAATAATTGACAAATTATTGTATGGAACGAAATCCATATTAATTCGGGTCTAACCGATTTGAAATTTGAGGACAGTTTATTTTTTTGTAATAAAATTGGATTTTGCAAATTACGAGTTCAATAAAAATTATATTTTTCGAATTGTTAAAAAAAAAGAAGTTTTCTGTTCTGCCTGAAGACGGACCTGAATTCTGAATTTGATTCCTATTTAGTTTTGATGAGAAATATGAGTTGAATAGACCAAGTATGAATCGATTATACACAGTGGTTCAAAAGTTATGACCTGACCCTAGATGGGGATTTTGCCAAAATCAAGATTACGTTCCGTATCACAGTTATTACATATATGGTAGACACATCGATAGGGGGTGATTGGAACCACTAAAGTCTCTCGCAAAAAATATTTCTTCATGAAAAATGTTCGAATAGTCTTATTTTATCCTG